TTTGGAATCTTGACGAGGTGTCCTTCTTTCCAGTCCATTGGCACTTGTTCCTCCTCCCAAATCTTTTTGAATAGAAGGTATAGCATGCTTGTGGTTGCTTCGATGTCTGATTTCAGTGCTTCAGCTGGTATGTTGTCGGGTCCTGCTGCTTTCCCGTTCTTGATTTGTCTGACGGCCATTCTAATTTCTTCCGTCGTTGGTGGGTTGACATCTATAGGAAGATCTATGTGTGCTGCTTCGATGTCCGGTGGATTCATTGGAGCCGGCCTATTCAGGAGTTCCTCGAAGTATTCCACCCATCTGTTACGCTGTTGTTGAATTTCGGTGATTGGCTTGCCTTCTTTGTCTTTGACCGGCCTCTCTGGTTTACTGTATTTCCCTGCTAGTTTCTTCGTTGTATCGTGAAGCTGTTTCATATTTCCTTCTCTAGCAGCTTTTTCTGCCGTCGTTGCTAGTTCTTCCACGTATTTCTTCTTGTCGGCTCTAATGCTCCTCTTCACTTGTTTGTTTGCTTCTATGTATTCAGCTTGTGCTTGGACTTTCTCTGCTCGTGTTCGGCTGTTGTTAATTGCTGCCTTCTTGTTCTTCCTTTCTTTGATCTTGTCCAGTGTTTCTATAGAGATCCATTCCTTATGATGGTGTTTCTTTAGGCCCAGAACCTCTTGACACGTTGAAGTTAATGCTTCCTTGATGCCTTTCCAGTTGTCCTCCATAGTAGTTTCTTCTTCTTTCAGTAGATCTTGTAAGGCTTGGAACCTGTTGTTGAGAGCTATCTTGAATTCATTGAGTTTGTCAGTATCTCGAAGGAAGGCTGTATTGAACCTTTGTAGTGCTGTTTGTCCACTTGTCCAGTTCTTTTTAGCTTCAGTTTTAAATTGGCTACAACTAGGTGGTGATCTGAAGCTACGTCAGCACCTCTCCTGGTTCTCACATCTTCCATTGTCCTTCGGAATTTTTTGTTGATGCAAATATGATCTATTTGGTTCTCTGTAGTGTGGTCCGGTGAGATCCATGTAGCCTTGTGTATACGCTTGTGTGGAAATATTGTGCCTCCTATGACCAATTTGTTGAATGCACACAAATTTGCAAATCTTTCTCCATTTTCGTTTCTTTCTCCCAGTCCATGTCGTCCCATAATATCTTCATATCCGGTGTTGTCTATTCCGACTTTGGCATTTAGATCTCCCATCAGAATAGTTAGGTCCTTTCTTCGGCATTTCTCAATGATTGACTGCAGCCGCTCGTAGAACTGATCTTTAATGTCGTCGTTGCTATCATTGGTGGGTGCATAACATTGGATAATATTCATTAAGATCCCCTCCTTCTTTGTTTTGAATGATGCTTTGATGATTCTGGATCCGTGAGACTCCCATCCTACAAGTGCATTTCGTGCTACTTTGGACAGCATAAGAGCGACTCCCTGAGTGTGTGGAGCATTTTCCTCTTCGTGACCGGAGTATAGCAGCATCTCTCCCGTAGCTAGCCTTTTCTGTCCAGCTTGGGTCCAGTGGGTTTCGCTGATTCCCAGTACTGCTAAGTTGTATCTCCTCATTTCCATTGCTATTTGACTGGTCTTCCCGGTTTCCCACATTGTTCGAACGTTCCATGTACCTATAAAAATTTTTGCTCTGGTTGTTAGAAGGGGCATCGGCCTCGTGGCTTCCGAAGGAACTCGGCTTTCACCATGAAGCGTCATAATTCTTCTAACTGAAGACCTTCTAACTCCCAGGGCAGAGTTTAAATGGTTTGAATTATTTTTTCTGGTAAGCGTTTTTTTAGCGAGTTAGTTTTCTACGGGATGGGGACGCTAACCCCATGCCCAACCCTCCTCCTTTACCCGGGCTTGGGACCGGCAGTAACTCTAGAAGAGCTACAGGGGAGTTAGTCCCTGCATATTGCCTGTTATTCTTTACTGTTCTCCATTATTTTTCCCGGGCTTTTAAGAAAAGACTTTGCTGTATTGTGAACAGTGATGAAAGCAGTCAGCAATGTGTGTGGTGAATCGTTTGAGGTCATTATTAATATGGCTGTGAGTAGACATTCAAGTCTTGCAAACCCCTGGCAGGTGTTATCTTATCAGATACTAACCATCCCCTTCATTCATATCTTTCTCCACTTTCATCTTCTGGTAGAACGAGGCGTCAAAACACTAAGATCCATGCACACAAGCAAAAGTATAAAAGTTCTATAATACCTTACGTAGTAAATTCACTCTGTGACGAACAGATTGTTAGAGTTAACGTAGTCGAAAACCTGAATTCTCAATTGTTTCCAATTAGAAAAGTTATACAGATTCAGACATTTTCCATCCTTTTCATTTCTTTTCTGTTGCTTCATTAATAATAATAATAATAAGTTCAGATTTTCACATTTTGTTCTACCTACATTAAATTTCACTGTTTTGGGAATCACAAGTTAGAGAACTAATCTGAATACTCCCAATTATCCTGTAATACAAATGGCTTGTATCACGAACTTGTTCAACTAAAACCACAAAACATCAAGTATATATATATCACTGAAGAAAAAGGGACTAGTTACTCATCTGAAAGGAAAGGGTGTTCGTAATAAACCATAGACGTATTAATATTCAACAGTTCATGGACAGCTCAAGCAACTGCACGATAGAATGTAAAACCCGGTAAACCGTGATGACGGCTTTCAAGATACCGAGCCTAGTAAAATAAAAACTAAGACGGTCAGTGAAATATCATAAAGCAGGAATAAAAGAATTAAAAAAAAAACAAAATTACGACCTAAGGATTATAAAAGTCATATTCTCAACCAAATATACACGTGATAAATAGAAATGAACGTAATGGGCAAAGTAACATTGAATCTAGGATGAGACAGTGTTAATGGGACATTAATTTCTATGATAATCAGGAGGATACGAATAAATGTGCCGACTAGGAATTCCCGGAGTAGTGTAATTTGAGGCAGGAAGGATTAGATGTGCACTAAACTTGATAGTGTTAACCATATTAACCCAACTCAGCTACAGCAATTTGAACACATATGTGAACCGGAGTGAGATATATGATAGAATAATCAACATCATTATCAATCGGTGTATACCTATGAACCCCTGAAGTCATTTCTTAGTAGCTTAATGAAAATATAGTTTATGCAATATACTTGATATCGTTACACAACCGTTAGTGCGAGTACAATCAAAATATCTGCTCATTTTAAGAGTAGCATACACACTGGTTCAACAACTATTGCTTTACAACTAGACGGATTTTATTCTAAATTTCACTATTTCTAGAAAACCTAGAGGTCGATCCAGGAGACTATGTGACCACATCTATGCCTGATATTTTGAGGTATAATGCTTGATGTTCTTGAACAAACTCAAACATTTATACGCAACAACAACCTTCTCTAGTGGTATGGTGCCATCGCACAAACTGACCAACTATGCTTTTCTTAACCGTTGCATCTTAGTGTCATTAAAATGGTTGCAACACAATATCAGTAACCCAATGGAGACAGCAATGATCAAACTCAGAGAGTTGTCTAACATACTCCAATAGGCCAAGTTTCTTAAGCATAAAGCAAAACTATTCTTGCAAGCACTCTGTTGACTTGACCTTTAACAATCGTGTTAGTATCATGACGACATCAAAGATGGCCCAGATTGATAGCAGACTTTTCAGCTTTCACTGCACTCCAATTGATCCTATCAGTCATGCACTCATACGACCCAGAAACATGAACTTTTCGACCAGCGCGAAGAGCGAAATACTGGCTCCTGCCTCCCTGATAAAAACGATTTTAATTTAGATAAAAAGTGCATGCCATACTTACGTAGGACAAACTGCAAATGACTAGGTGCGACTCGTATAGATTATTTACCAACACAGTGGAACATTTTGACCTGGACATTTAAGATCGAAGTTTGTGCCAGGTAAAAGACCTAAACCGACACGCAGCGAGATACACTCTCTTGATGGAAAATAGCCAGCACTCATCTATGCACCTCAGTAGATAACCTTGAGCCCTGACTGGTTTAACGATCGATTGCAGACAAAGTCTTTCAAGTAACCACTCCAGTGGGAATTGAGTCTAAACTCTGATTAACTTGAAAGGATTCCAAGGATCCCACCACCCATGTCGCCTCTGAAAGTCGATTCTGGTTAACAACATGTCGTGACCTGCAGAAAGTTATGAGAGATTGTCACCAGTGTCCGACCTAGTATCAACGAGTCCTTATTGAGCAACCAAGCGACCCAACTCTATGCTTAGATGCTGTATCTAAACCTTAAGATAGCATTACAATCCCTGAAGTCATTGTTGTTGATGGAATCTTCTCGACATTGACTATACGGGAACTGCAGCTCGAACCATGTACTTTCTGTCTCGCAAGTCTATGCGTCATCTAATGAACTATTGTTAAAAATAAATAAAATATATACCCATGAGGCATTTGTGCCGGAAAACATATTATCTTGGAACGGCTACAAAAGTCAATGTTTATTCGAAAGCAACGAAATTTCTAAATAAGTCATTCCTTAACATAGGTTCATAAAGAATATATCACACTTGGAAAATAATATTGTAACAAAACGTGTAAAAACTAGATAAATGAAAATTCAAATTGAAAGTTAAAATACCACAAAACTTAAGGCATAGAAACATGAACACTAACATCACCGAACATTGAAAACATGAGGAAGACAAAAGCAAAGTACTCAAAGAGAAGAATGATTCGTATATAAATAATCGAACTATGTACAAAAATGCCATAAAAGTAATATACAACCGGCAAAAAAACTCGATAGTAGTGCAGCTCATCGAGCGAAAATAAGGCTTCGGACTTGTATAGAAGGGAATACTAAAAGAAAAAAGTACGGAAATTTATTTCTCATGGTGACTACTTCATTGAATGATTGTGAAAATTTTCGAATAACTTATAAAGTTGCGTGTGAACAGGTTTTCTGTCCCAATAGTTATTAACTATATTTATCGATTCCAGTTCTGGAAATCCACCTAACTTCGGTGATGAGTCTATAACATTAACAAAAGCAGGACGAGGAGTGCGTGGGGTTGGTATTGGTTTGTAAACGTTGTTATCACTTGATTTTATATGTGTACTCGAATTTACTGAAGAGGTTATATTTGATGGTAAATTTTCAGTAGAATACAAATGATTTAAACATACACTAGAACTGATTCCCTATATCAATCAAAATAAAATGGAAATTACGTTGTTAGATATTAACAAAAATTAGAATAAATAAAAGCGATCTTCATAAAACTATATGTACTCCATTCAAAAAGTAAATTTCAAAAAAATACAGTAGGGGAACTGTATTGTATCGAGTGACATTTTCATCATAAATTTTGAACACCCAACTACTATTTCTCCATCAGAACGAAAATCAGAAAACCTAGGATGGAAAACAGTGATAAAGCTACATTCAAATAAATCCATAACTGGAAACTTGACAATACCAGTTTGCAGGGTCACTACTGCATAAAAACGATGGAATTAACAGCTCCTACAAAAACCATACTGTTTGACATTTTTTACGAGATTACATATCAAAAGATAATTTCATTAGACATTAGGTTAAGATCGGCTTGATAAAATGATAAAGAAGGAAAATTTAGCTTTGTATTTGTTATTATATTATGATTCCATAGCCCATTTGGTCTGAAAACAAATTCTGCAGACATTGTATCAAACCTCTATGTAGTCACATATCCGATTTCCTGGAATATTGGTATTGTAGAAACTAATCATTACGAAAAACAAAACACATAATCCAGTGAAACTTTCCAATTACAAAGAACAACACAGATTCAAAGATCATAATGAAAAATAAAGCACAAGAAAACTTACTGAGAGTAAACTGTTAATTTTATTTATTTGATTACTAAATTGATTCGGTACAGTTTTGACGGATGACTTTTTGTCACAATTCTGTTCAATATGAGAACAATGATGAAGCATTGATAATGATTGATCCTGTTTGCATTCTCGTACAATGTAAGGAGTAAATGTAACGGTATTATGAGATGAAATTGTTGTAACGTCATTATTACACATAAATGTATTATTGATAGAATTCTGTGGAATAATCTCATCATTTGATAATGAATTTGATACACTGAACTGATGATTGAATAAACGTAATCCAGTTGAAGTGTCCGCATAAAATTTAGTCTCTGTTGAAGCACACACTTCATCAATAATATGTAGTAGTGACTCCAATTCTGAATGTGGACTAAAACAATGGAAAATAAATTCCAAAAAAGGGCAGACGGATTTTTTTAGTAAACATAAAACAAATATTATCAGTTGATTAAGAAGAAAATGAGTCTTTATTGCCATAGTGTAAGAACAACAGTAATTCTTCAGTCAACATTATAAAATGATAGCTAGTGAAAAAGGGTAGTTTAAACTAGGTGCTGAATGTTAATAGAGTTGAAGGATTTTGTATTGTAGTCAAATGTTAGGATAGTAGTAGACTAAATAAACTCGAACCTCTGTTAAAGTACGCCTTGGGATCTCGTTATGATCATCTTAGAAATATAATACCGTTATAAAAAACCCAGTAATACAAATTACAGTTCTGTTGAAAACCTAATACTTTTGATATTGACTACACACGAATTGTCAATTTAACAAATCTTTTTTCAAACATACAAAGCTAACATGGTATCACCATTACTACAACAATTTTAAGTTAGAAATTGATTTTAAGAAGTGTGGATTAGTGTATAGTCATTAAAGTGAACTTAGTTATCACAAAAACCTATAATCATTGATTTACTTGATAGCACGGGTACAAGCAAAGGTATGAGCTGTGATGTAACGTTAATGATAAAAGAACTTGTCCTAATAGAGAAATCGTTTAACAAGAAACTCAATTAAATTGAATGACTGAGCAAAAAAAACTTAAAATTACTTTGGTGGAGAAGAAGTAGTAACAGCTTGAAAATCATTTTCATTGGAAGCTTCCGATAAGCCCATACCTTCAGACCTTTTGTTAACATGACAAGACTTATTTTTGATGAAATTGGAATCGGTTGTATTTGCGAAGTCAACAGTTCTGTCACAAAAGTCTCCAGGTTTAAGGGTAGAAAATATTGGTGCTCCAGCTTCGAATAAGGCTTGACGAAGCTGATTAGTAAACTGTCTACAAGCTCTTCTATGTACACGAGCTAATTCTGAATGAAGTGTTTGTGCAGCACGAGACTGGCATAGTTCAACATAATTTAAAACATCAGCTAAAATATGATTAGTAAAAATTGGATAATTCGGGTTTTTTTCAAAGATGATAATTAAAATTTATTAGAATTAAGAGTTTATTATTTAGGAGAATAAAAAAAAGAAACGATGACAAGCAGAATTTGGATAGTGTAATAAGAAGATAAAGATTATCAGAACTATGTGATATACTGGTGCAATACATTCCGAACAATCTGATCATATATATAATTGTTAAGAATCATTTATATACAAAAATAAAAGGAAAACTAGACAGATGGAGTGTAAGAAGAGACAAAGATTTTTAAATAAATTATTTTTAACAAGTATATGTGTGATCAGATTGTTCGAAAGGTATTGCGCTAATATATCATATAGATCTGATGATCTTCGTCTTCTTATTACACACCCAAATTTATCGAAGGGATTAATTGTTTCAAACAAGCAAAATTTCAATAAAAGTAAGCGTTTAATGGTGTTAATGAATCAAATTTAAATTCCAGCAACATAATTCCATCCAGTTCAATGTTAATAACGACTACTGCTGGGTGAACTGCTATCCAGTAATCTGTACTCAACGAATAAGTAATTTCGTTGTCCTATATGGAGAACTTGAACAGCAAAGGCTAGGTACGGGGGAGATGCTGCTATACTCCGGTCAAAAATAGGAAAATGCTCCACACACTCAGGCAGTTGCTCTGATGTTGTTCAAAGAAGCACGAAATACACTTATAGGATGGAAATATCATGGATCCGGGATCATCAAAGCATCTTTCAAACAAAGAAGAGGAAATCACAATAAATGTTATCCAATGATATGCATAAACCAATGATAGCAACGACGACGATAAAGACCAGTTTTACGAGCGGCTGCAGTCAATCATATCGAAGTGCTCAGAAAAGGATATAACTATTCTGATAAGAGATCTAAACGCCAAAGTCCGAATGGACAACAACGGTCCTGAAGATACCATGGGACGACATGGACTACGAGAAAGAAACGAAATGAGGAGAGATTCGCAAATCTATGTGCATTCAAGAAATTGGTCATAGGTGGGACAATATCTCCCCATAAACACATACACAAAGCTCAATGAGTGTTATATTCGGTCGTCGCTGATTGTTGTGCCAGAAAAACGCTGATCACTTATACTCGGAACGAGGGACCTCTGCAATTCCCACGATGCGAAAGTAAGAACACAAAGACTGGTACTATGACGACGACGACGAATCGAATATCGTCTAAAATACACTGGTTTATATATTGATTGTACACCCATTTTGATTAATAATTAGGATTAAATCACATACTCAGTTATAACAAACTACTTACTGAGCATAGTTCATGTCAAGTGAATGCAAGAAGAAAATATCATACTTGAAAAAACAATCAAATACTACATTGAATGATCCTCACGTTGAATATAAACGGATGTCAATGTTGAATAAAACTCATAATGAGTAATTCAATCGAAAATTGAATTTTCTTTCCATCATATCACAATTATATAAATAAAATATACGTTTAGTATTGGTCCATAAAAGGATCCCAAAGTTACAATTCATTATGTTTATCGGGTCTTAACAATGAGTTTCACCGGATCACACCACACGTAATCAGATCGATTATATTTGCATCACTAAAATATTCAGAAGGATAATGGAATACCTGAGAACCAGCAGAGGAGTTGATAGAGCTCCAGATCACCACCTGATTGTTGTCAAGATGAAATTGAAGCTAAAGAAACACTGGACAGCTGGGAAAACAACAGAACAAAGGTTCAATACAGCCATCCTACGAGATACTAAAAAACTCAACGAATTCAAGATAATTCAACAACAGGTTCTAAGCTTTACAGAATCTACTGATAAAGAAACGACTATAGAGGACAACTGGGAAGGAATCGAAGGAGCACTAGCTTTAACATGCCAGGAGGTGCTGGGCCACACAACAAGCGTCATCATAAGGAATGGATCTCTATGGAATACCTGGACAAGATTCAAGAAGGGAAGGACAAAACAGCAATTAACAACAGGTGAACACGAACAGAGAAAGTCAAGGCAAACACTGAATACACTGAGGCAGACCATCAAGTAAAGAGGAGCATTAGGGTTGACATGCAGAAATATTTGGAAGACCTAGCAACGGCAGAGGAAAAAGCTGCAAGACAAGGAAATATGAAACAACTATATGACAACGAAGAAAATGACAGGGAAATATAGTAAACCAGAGGGATCGGTCAAGGACAAAGAAGGCAGGCAAATCACTGAATTTAATGACAGAAACAAATGGTAGAATATTTCTAGGAACTCTTGAAAAGACCAGCTTTACTGAACCCGCCGGACATTAAAGCGGCACACACAAATCTTCCTATAGATGTCACTCCACTAAAGACCAAAATCAGTTTGGCTATGAGACACATCAAAAGTGGGGAAGCAGTAGGACTGTTATGGATGCAGAATAATGTGCCGATCATTATCACGTTAAGTCTAATGATGTCCTTGGACTATAAATGGGCATTCCCTATTGGCCATTATTTATTTCACTCGTTAAATATTGTACAGATGTTGTTTTCTATTTTTATGGTACGATGTGGTCTGTTTGGTTAGTATATAAATAGAGTATGTCTGAAATACAGTGATTCATATCTCAGAGGCTGTGACTTGCGTTCTAAACTCAACTGGCTAGGCTAGACAGGGAAGCGGGACCAATCAGGGAACTAGGTCGTCCTTACGTGTTTCACGTGTCACAGAAGCGATCGATATAAACGCTGCTTATCAAAACCTGCATTCCACACGTTACAACAAGGACCTTACAATATACTAGCTGAAGCACTAAAGTCAGATATAAGTAACTGCAAACACGCTCCACAAACTTGATGAAGAAGCCCTGGAAGATGTGGAATCTTTCACGTATCTGGGAAGCATCATCGATGAACAAGGAAGATCTGATGCAGATGTAATAGTACTGATTAGCAAAGTAGGGACAGCATTCATACAGTTGAAAAATATACTGAACTCAAAATAACTGTCTGCCAACCAACATCAAAGTCACAACCTTCAATACAAAAGTCAGGACAGTTCTACTGTATGGAGATAAAACTTGGACAACTACCACAACCATCATCAAAAAGGTACATGTATTTATAAATAATTGTCTACGCAAGATACTCAACATCCATCGACCAGATATCATCAGCAACATACTACTGTGGGAGAGGACAAAGCAACTTCCAGTTGAGAAGGAAATTAGGAAAAGAAATTGGGAGTGGATATAATATACATTGAGGTAATCATCGAATTGAATCACCAGGCTAGCGCTAACTTGGAATCCTGAAGGGAAACGGGAAAGAGGAAGGCCGAAGAATACACTGAGTCGGGAATCGGAAGCGGACATCAAAAGAATGAATAGCAACCGTAAAGGATTTCTCAGGACAGAGTTGGACGGAGAATGCTGGTGGGCGGTCTATGCTCCTCCACGCGGGGTAACCGGTGTAAGGAAGTAAATAATATAGAGAACTGAACGATAGTCAACTCCGCCTGTAGCTCTAACAGGGTTACTGCCGGTCCCAAGCCCGGATAAAGGAGGAGGGTTGGGCATGGGGTTAGCGTCCCCATCCCGTAGAAAACTAACTCGCTAAAAAAACGCTTACCAGAAAAAATAATTCAAACCATTTAAACTCTGCCCTGGGAGTTAGAAGGTCTTCAGTTAGAAGAATTATGACGCTTCATGGTGAAAGCCGAGTTCCTTCGGAAGCCACGAGGCCGATGCCCCTTCTAACAACCAGAGCAAAAATTTTTATAGGTACATGGAACGTTCGAACAATGTGGGAAACCGGGAAGACCAGTCAAATAGCAATGGAAATGAGGAGATACAACTTAGCAGTACTGGGAATCAGCGAAACCCACTGGACCCAAGCTGGACAGAAAAGGCTAGCTACGGGAGAGATGCTGCTATACTCCGGTCACGAAGAGGAAAATGCTCCACACACTCAGGGAGTCGCTCTTATGCTGTCCAAAGTAGCACGAAATGCACTTGTAGGATGGGAGTCTCACGGATCCAGAATCATCAAAGCATCATTCAAAACAAAGAAGGAGGGGATCTTAATGAATATTATCCAATGTTATGCACCCACCAATGATAGCAACGACGACATTAAAGATCAGTTCTACGAGCGGCTGCAGTCAATCATTGAGAAATGCCAAGAAAGGACCTAACTATTCTGATGGGAGATCTAAATGCCAAAGTCGGAATAGACAACACTGGATATGAAGATATTATGGGACGACATGGACTGGGAGAAAGAAACGAAAATGGAGAAAGATTTGCAAATTTGTGTGCATTCAACAAATTGGTCATAGGAGGCACAATATTTCCACACAAACGTATACACAAGGCTACATGGATCTCACCGGACCACACTACAGAGAACCAAATCGATCATATTTGCATCAACAAAAAATTCCGAAGGACAATGGAAGATGTGAGAACCAGGAGAGGTGCTGACGTAGCTTCAGATCACCACCTAGTTGTAGCCAATTTAAAACTGAAGCTGAAAAAGAACTGGACAAGTGGACAAACAGCACTACAAAGGTTCAATACAGCCTTCCTTCGAGATACTGACAAACTCAATGAATTCAAGATAGCTCTCAACAACAGGTTCCAAGCCTTACAAGATCTACTGAAGAAGAAGAAACTACTATGGAGGACAACTGGAAAGGCATCAAGGAAGCATTAACTTCAACGTGTCAAGAGGTTCTGGGCCTAAAGAAACACCATCATAAGGAATGGATCTCTATAGAAACACTGGACAAGATCAAAGAAAGGAAGAACAAGAAGGCAGCAATTAACAACAGCCGAACACGAGCAGAGAAAGTCCAAGCACAAGCTGAATACATAGAAGCAAACAAACAAGTGAAGAGGAGCATTAGAGCCGACAAGAAGAAATACGTGGAAGAACTAGCAACGACGGCAGAAAAAGCTGCTAGAGAAGGAAATATGAAACAGCTTCACGATACAACGAAGAAACTAGCAGGGAAATACAGTAAACCAGAGAGGCCGGTCAAAGACAAAGAAGGCAAGCCAATCACCGAAATTCAACAACAGCGTAACAGATGGGTGGAATACTTCGAGGAACTCCTGAATAGGCCGGCTCCAATGAATCCACCGGACATCGAAGCAGCACACATAGATCTTCCTATAGATGTCAACCCACCAACGACGGAAGAAATTAGAATGGCCGTCAGACAAATCAAGAACGGGAAAGCAGCAGGACCCGACAACATACCAGCTGAAGCACTGAAATCAGACATCGAAGCAACCACAAGCATGCTATACCTTCTATTCAAAAAGATTTGGGAGGAGGAACAAGTGCCAATGGACTGGAAAGAAGGACACCTCGTCAAGATTCCAAAGAAAGGAGATCTGAGCAAATGTGAAAACTACAGAGGCATTACACTACTGTCAATACCAGGGAAAGTCTTCAACAGAGTGTTGCTGAACCGGATGAAGGATGCAGTAGACGCCCAACTTCGAGATCAACAAGCTGGATTCCGTAAGGATCGGTCGTGCACAGACCAAATTGCAACACTACGGATCATCGTCGAACAATCAGTTGAGTGGAACTCATCACTATACATCAACTTCATTGATTATGAAAAGGCATTCGACAGTGTAGATAGGAGGACATTATGGAAACTTCTTCGACACTACGGAGTTCCTGAGAAGATTGTCAACATTATCCGGAACTCATACGACGGACTACAGTGCAAAGTAGTGCATGGAGGACAGCTGACAGATGCATTCCAAGTAAGGACTGGAGTCAGACAAGGCTGTTTACTCTCTCCCTTCCTCTTTCTTCTGGTGGCCGACTGGATTATGAAGACCTCAACACGAACAGATGCAGATGAAGACAGCCAGTGTAGCAGCAGTCTCTGCATCAGTAGGCCTCAACACACACAAAGGGAAAACCAAGGTCCTCAAATTCAAGGCGGAGAACAGCAATCCAATCGCTCTTGATGGCGAAACTCTGGAAGATGTAGAGTCCTTCACATACCTGGGAAGCATCATCGATGAACAAGGAGGTTCAGATGCAGACATAAAGGCGAGGATCGGCAAAGCAAGGGTCGCATTCCTACAATTGAAGAACATATGGAACTCAAAACAACTGTCAAGCAATATCAAAGTGAGAATTTTCAATACGAACGTCAAGGCAGTTCTACTGTATGGAGCTGAAACTTGGAGAACTACAACAACCACAATCAAGAAAGTACAAGTATTTATAAATAGCTGCCTACGCAAGATACTCAACATCCACTGGCCGGATACCATCAGCAATAGCCTTCTGTGGGAGAGAACAAACCAACTTCCAGCTGAAGAAGAAATTAGGAAAAGACGATGGAAATGGACAGGACATACATTACGCAAATCGTCAAACTGCATCACGAGGCAAGTCCTAACTTGGAACCCTGAAGGGAAGCGAAAAAGAGGAAGGCCAAAGAACACATTGCGTCGGATAATAGAAGCAGATATGAAAAGGATGAATAGGAACTGGACGGAGCTTGGAAGGATTGCCCAGGACAGGGTTGGATGGAGAATGCTGGTGAGTGGCCTATGCTCCTTCACGAGGAGTAACAGGCGTAAGTAAGTAAGTAAGTGAACGATAGTCTTTTTTACAGAAATGTAATTTATGTAATAATACAGGTTTGTGAACTCCCCCATAAACCACACACGTTATTGGAAGCCTAATGATCCTACTCGATTATCCTCAATCCAAGAGGAGAGAACGGAACTGATAACCCTGTTGACACTATTAATGTGACAAGTAGATGGTGATAGAATTCTATTTCACTTTACCATTTCTCATGCAATGAGAAGTACCCTAGTGATTATTAGAATTAGTTAGAAAACAAACAGATCTAATCAATACAGCCAATTCATGTTGAGATTATTTGGATAATCAATTGTTGTGTTGTTTTTCTATAGGCAGTCTGCGTAATTTGGTTGTCCAATCTGAGTTGATTTGCTAATAACCTTGATTGAAAAACGAGTTAAAGTGTTAACGAGAGTTCAGATGATATCAAGCGAGTTAACAAAAACTATTTTTCATTAATTAGTTATCTTGAATCACCTGGTCGTTTTATTTATGACTACAGTCAAACTAATGAAATTTGGTACACCTAAAAACAGTACCTTCTACAGACTGATACCAGACCACGAAACAGAACAATCTTCCTATTTAAGTGGCGCGAAATTCCGAAACATAACAAATTTGCTATCTATTTTCATGTATTCGTGATTTTGAAACTGTTTAAATGTATATCAGTTTTTATTTGTAAAAGTACTATAAATCGCATGAATCAAAGTATCAAATGTTTAATCAAGGACCACAAATTCGGTAACAGTATGTGCAGTGACAATTGACTAAAAAGTATCGATTTAAATATACCAATAATTTCTAACGTACTTTAAGTGAAGACTTGATTCATTTAAGACAATACTAATTAAATTATTTCAAAAACTAAACAAACAGTCTTGTGGAAAAAATCTCAAACAAACCTTTGATTTTTTTAATAATAGAATGATAATATTCAGCATCTAGACCACTAACTTGTACAGATTTCTGTTCATAAGTAATTGAATTGGTGTTGTTTAATAATGGATTGTTGAATTTTTGTACACATTTACTTGTATCATCAAGACTAACAACTAACAAATGAATTTTCCCAAGCACCGATTGATATTCAAATCCAATCATTTTAGACAATCGAATTTTTAAATAATTGTAATTTACATTTTTCTGACAATAATTCGAAGATGTTTGCGCGAGAATTTCATCAGATTTATCAGTTGAGATATCGACAGAACTACATTGTAGCGTATCAGGGCACTTAAACATAAACTGATTTTCTGGGGAAAGCTTCTTATTTACATTCCTATTAAAAATATGTGATACCTTTGAGAAATGAAATGAAAACAAAATGTTTAAAGATATTTAATATCCATATTACTAGATTATATAATTAACATTATGATCATATATGAAACGAAAATTACATTAGCTGATTAAACGAAACCGATAAGAAAATCTATGATTAAATAGTGTACTTGTTGGAATTTTTAAGAGAGAAAACAGAAACTAATAAAAGCAAATAAAGTATTGGTATGATGTTGTTATCAGTTTATCCTTGCAAATTTAACTAGTGAAAAGAATTTAACCAGATTAGCAACTTGACCATTGAATGTAGTAAGAGAACTATTTGAAATATTATTTATTATCAAGTTACTCAAAAGCTAAATAATAATGTATTTGAAGATGATCGTTGGTTTAAACAGTTACAGGGTTTGATATTTAAAGTAGGTTACAAGTTCAAATATCTTATTCAATATAGTCGGATCGTATTATTAGTTTATAGTGCTAAAACGAGGTTAACAAGGCTGTAATTGATAATTGAGCTACATTAACACTAATTAATAAAATTTCATAGTCGGTAAATTTACTGCAAAAATATTGTTGTTTTCGACGTACACTACCACCGTTTAAAGGATACTATGCATGCAAAGTACAGCAATATAAAATACATTTTTCAAAATCTTAATGTAAATCAACAATAAGTTAATAACCAAGAGCGTACAGCCAGTTAATGAGGAAAATTTGTAACTTTTATTATACGGAGAGTCATATTTTTCAAAAGATAAAAAATTTCCAGATAAACTAAAAATTTTTAGCAGTATGTCACGAACATTTAGCAAAACCCGAAAAAGATGTTGATTCATTAAACAGACAGTAGACAAGACATTTATTATGTTAATGGTTTCAATTTGCAAAAGAAATAATCGATTAACTAGAAAAATATTTTATCACGAAATAAGCTACTTTCAGATCATTAATAGAAATACTGTAAAACGTACAATGACTACTGGACTGTTTGGACTTCAAGATGACCTAGCTCTCATATTCACACGGACAAATGCAGGTCAATACGAAAAGTGTAACAACAGCCTCTGCATCAGTAGGCTTTAATATACATAAAGGAAAAAGTAAAATCCTCAACTACAACACAGAGAACACCAACTCAATCACACTTGATGGAGAAGCCCTGGAAGATGTGGAATCTTTCACGTATCTGGGAAGCATCATCGATGAACAAGGAAGATCTGATGCAGATGTAATAGTACTGATTAGCAAAGTAGGGACAGCATTCATACAGTTGAAAAATATACTGAACTCAAAATAACTGTCTGCCAACCAACATCAAAGTCACAACCTTCAATACAAAAGTCAGGACAGTTCTACTGTATGGAGATAAAACTTGGACAACTACCACAACCATCATCAAAAAGGTACATGTATTTATAAATAATTGTCTACGCAAGATACTCAACATCCATCGACCAGATATCATCAGCAACATACTACTGTGGGAGAGGACAAAGCAACTTCCAGTTGAGAAGGAAATTAGGAAAAGAAATTGGGAGTGGATATAATATACATTGAGGTAATCATCGAATTGAATCACCAGGCTAGCGCTAACTTGGAATCCTGAAGGGAAACGGAAAGAGGAAGGCCGAAGAATACATTGAGTCGGGAATCGGAAGCGGACATCAAAAGAATGAATAGCGACCGTAAAGGATTTCTCAGGACAGTTGGATGGAGAATCCTTGTGAGCGGCTTGTGCTCCTCCATGAGGGGTAACCGGTGTAAGAAAGTAAATAAGTACAGCGGCACTAGGTTTTCTAGTGAATTCACTTTTTGTCGATTTGCGGAACAAATCATAATCGAATAATTTGTTTGGATTTATAACGTTTATAAAAGTTTAATGTCAATAGCTAGTAAGACGGAACTTGTAGAATATCATAAATATAAGATAATCAGTCGAAGATAACTTATAAAATGATATGAAATATTCGCCCACAGTAAGTGACAACTTTTCAAATTACAGATTATTTCGTTGATATATTTGATAAATAAGAATGTAAGACTTCTATATAATAAGAATAGAAAAGTATTTATAGTGAAGAATAATGAATTACAGATCAACGTGAAGTTGCACCACAGATTCAGTGAGATGTGATAATGGTAAAAAAAAACCTCATTTATTTAACCAAAGAAAAATTACCCAAAAAAGCTTCTCTGTAAAGCTGTATCTATTACAACAGAGATCATACTAAATAAGCATAAGCAAGGAAGCCACACAAGACGTTCAAAAAACTAATAACAATACCACTGACTTGTCCCCAAATGATTAGTTTTATCGATAGAAACAAAGAAAACAACACAAATCTGCGATAAAAGCAATAATATATTATCGATAAATACAACCACTTTTATACCAATTTTTAATACTTACATTATATTCAACTATTAGTCTATCAATTTCATTATCGATCTGTTTCAACAAATCCTGAAGTAGATGTTTAAGGATATTTTGAGAAGAGTTTGATATTTCTTTCTCCAAATAACATAAATTCATACAGGATGTTTCAGTTAAATGTGTACATAAATTAAAAAGACATTCTGCAGACAAATATTCGGACAATATCGGATATTTACTGAGAATAGCAGTTTTAATTTCATTACTGTTAAAACTATCTGGTATTGGATCATCCATGGTATTCCAAACTTTATTGGTAGCAATTCACCAAGTTCCTTTAGAAGAAACCATTAGTATATATAAGCTGTACTGAAATTTGTAATAATAATAATACCATTGTTTGAAAAGACAATTATTATCATCCCGAAATGAACTGCGATCGATTGTAATGCACAGAATATGCCGAATATCACATAGGGTTTTGAAATTTCACTGAAAACTTAATTTTAAAACTTTTAATAGTCAAATAGAGATACAGGAAATCCTTGACTATGACAGAAACACAAACACCATAATTTGACTATTTGATAATCTGTTATACAGATTATAAGTGATCTCTTTGCCTATACATACATTTATGATAAGCTGAGTCACTGCTTGAACAACATTTCAAAGAAAGTAGTGTCTGAAAACTCATGAAATACCCTAATGATCACTGTTTACAAGTATAATACTATGATTTGAGTAATTCAAATGTAGTACAAAATGATTTTATTATAAAATTGGAATTAAAGACTATCGAGCTATTCAAGGTTGAGGAAACAATGAAGCAGCAACAAAAAGCCAGTATATTAAGGAAACAGAAAAATCGAATTTAAGTGAATATCTCGTTATATTTCACATAATTTCCACGATGGGGAAAAATCACACATAATAATCATACAAATTACTCTAAACAGAGCAAGAACAACAAGATTTGCAGAGTAAAATGAATTTATCAGTTTACTTCACGGTTTCTCATTAGCTGCATACAATTAAAAATTACAATCATTAATAATAAGTATAATTATAAATCAACGCTTAGTATGCGATTTTCATTAGATCAGGTCGTAAGCGTTTGATTGGTGTTTTTTGTCTGTTGATTATGTTGAATGCATTACTTACATTCACTTCATGTCCACTATCAAGATCTCTGGCAATTGCACTTGTAAAGACTTTACTCCCTTTCAGCTGTAGGTTCTTAAGAATGTGTCTCGATCATTTATCTGAACCACGCAAACCTTAGTATGCCTTAGTTTGCGTGGTTCATATAAATGATCGAGACACATTCTTAAGAACCTACAGCTGAAAGGGAGTAAAGTCTTTACAAGTGCAATTGCCAGAGATCTTGATAGTGGACATGAAGTGAATGTAAGTAATGCATTCAACATAATCAACAGACAAAAAACACCAATCAAACGCTTACGACCTGATCTATGTATAAAGAAGGAAGATTTGATTAGCCTTTCCCTGCCATGATGATTAAATACTTGTCTAATAACCTTTGTTAATTTTAATCTATTTTTCAACTCTGTGGTCAATCCTTTATTTTAACTATTCTTTCGTCTTTTGATATTCATCTCTTACATAATCTGATTGATGTTCATATACTTGCTTATTTTGTCATGTTGAGCGATTACCAAGTAACTCATTAATTTCACTACCCTTACATAACTTCTGAATTATTATCTCCTAACATATAAATACACATTGATCTTAACTATGTTTATTCAGACAGTTTGCATCCCCATTATTCTGATTATTATGATTTTGGTTACGTTTCGAAATTTATCTAAACTTCGCAAACTAAAGCATGCTAAGCATTGGCTAATAATTATATTTATTATTAATGATTGTAATTTTTAGTTGTATGCAGCTAATGAGAAACCGTGAAATAAACTGATGAATTCATTTTATCTTGCAAATCTTGTTGTTTTTGCTCTGTTTAAATTTATCAAGGGATCTAGTTACACAACAAATTACTTTACCTAGAAAAATGGAATGAAAAATCACGAATTTCAACTAAAACTTACAGTTTGAACACATGCGGTAGATTTTGCTATATATGACGTGTTTACGCTAACATTCATTGATACACAAGGTTCTGTCTGACTGCTTTTATCCTCTATATGAAACAACGAATAAGAAACGATAATGTGTTAAAAAGTAAACATATAAAATATACTAACGTGGATCTAAAATACAATGTTATTTAATTTAGAACTCAACATTGTAGGTCATTTTTTAGTGAGGCAAAGAACTTTCTACTCGAGATTTTAATTTATACTACTAAATTATAGGAATGACCTTATTACATATTTTTGGGACGATTTGGCATAAATTGTTTGACGCTTTGCCCCGGTAACTTGAGATAGCTTAAAAATGAATATGCCGAGTGATCATTTTGTTAAGTATTAATTCTTCGTAATTACAGACCGCATGTTATCTTTTGATATTCTAAGATAGCGTAGGTTGGGGAATCCAGGTCAGAAGCTTATACTCCACAAGGGTTAACAGACATAAGTATGTTGTGGAACATGATATAGCAATGAACTACCAATTTTGTGCATTTATAATGTTACCATGTCTCAGTTTGTTTTTCTACTTGTACTAAGCTTTCTTCTCTTTTCACTTGCTTACTATCCAATTTATGCAGCACCCTTTGACAATTTATTTTGAACAGTTTAGCTTTATTCGGAACACCATCTAATTTATTTTTGTTAATCCTAGTTGTCTATTTAACAGTGACATGGTTTCTTCTAACTAATTGTACATACTGTATCATGTTACCCACTTTAAAAATACATTTGTTATTTGACTGCGTAATTAGTCCTGGGACACCATAAAAACATCATTTTTACGACATCTCATCATTTAGTTTTTCGATTTTTAATGTAACTCAGTGACCAGGATGCCATTTTCGAATGGATAACGTAATACTTATTCGCCGTATCTTAAAGATGACCACAAACATATATCGACTGATAACTTTATATAACAGATAATTTCTGAACATAACATTTGGAAATTTTGATATAAATAACAGGGAATTGATACAGATTCATCTCAAAATGAAATAGAGCGATCACTGTGTACATAAAATAACTTCAGGTTCATTATCATTGTTCAATATAATCAATTACCTCTTCACACTTCTTTGAGATAAACGTTATGCATTTTGAAGCAAATCAATATTGCTTCGTCTACAGTATGCCGAATGAGAAGACAATGATTCAAAATACAGCTAACTATTCATTAAATAAATGATGAATAATGTCACTTAGTTCAGTTATCATATTGCACTATACAAAATGCTATTATGGTAAACGAATAACGTATTTTCTTAGGATGAAACATATCTCATTTAAATTATGAACCGACTACTGTTGGACCACCACTGAAAAACTAAAAGCATTGGATGGTCGTTTCGTCCTGGTATGGGACTCATCAATAGTGTGTACCCACGATCCCGTACGCGAGATTCCAACCCAGGACCTTCGGTTTCGCACGGACACTTAACCTCTAAGCCACTAATCGGTTCATGATTCCAATGAAATTAAACAATCTACACGAACGTGGCCATTAAGAGTAGAAGATACTCTTAAGCTACTAGTATTTGATCACAGATGTCCTAGAAATACTTCCAGTATCTGCTGGGATCACTGGGTAAGTAGTAGTGAGGTTAGACGCAGGGTATTAGGGAATGATCGTAAATCAGTTGATGAGGTTGAAAATCTTCATCGACTAAAATGGTTGATAACGTATTACGTATGCCTGAACACCGATTACCACGACGCGCAATTTTGACTAGTGTTGAGGATGGTTAGAATAAAATTAGAGGCAGCCAAACCAGAACGTGGCATCAGTCCTTGAAGTCACTAACTTCTGGTCTGAGTCATGTTCGTAGATGCAGACTACTTGGTTGCGGTCCGCGCAACTATCGTAACCAATGGTTGGAGACTCTGTATGATATGACTCAGAATCGATTACAATGGCGTCGGTGTATACACTCTTCGTTTTCCTTTAAACCGTGACATTAAAATTAGTTTATTCCCCTCTTTCTATGAACTAATTCTTTCTCCCTGTGTTATATCCTTATGTACAGTGTTTCTTTCATATATTACTACCATTCAAGTAACTGCTTCTATGAATTTGGTGTTCACCTTATTGTGCTAATGAGGTGTGACAACTTGGACCGATACATAGATGTGCCTGGTAATACGTTTTAGATGACTGACTGACAACTCCAAACTGAAAAATATTTAGATTTTTTGAATAGTGATAAGTCATTACTACAGTGTTCAGAGCTCTTTGACAGCCTATTTTCACATTAAATTATAACAGATAGTTTACCGGAAATTTTCATCAAAGGAACTAAGTGCTGATCAATGGTGTTCATAGCTAATCATCTCAAACAACGATAACTGTCGGGTAAAACTTACTAAATTTATTAATAAGAGCGTTGACTCCTGTATTTTGTGTTTTCATTTGCAAAATCCATGACTGACGTGCGACTTCGATCTACAGAAAGTAAATGTGAACATTAAACACTCAAAACAAGCGTTAAATAAAAGAAACGAATTAAAAATGTAATTAACACTGAATTTAGTTTCCATTATGATACTGACTACTTCATAACTATTATTACAAACTGAAATGATTTATTGTTCATGATGCAAAACTATGTGTATATTGTACTCACTTTGATTTTCTAAATACTCGATAATATAGTTAAAAATGAATGTGGTACAGATCTTAGGTATCATATATTAGTATAACTTAACATTATCGTTAGTTTTTAAACAGAATATGAACGCTGAAATACGATACAACATTGTGTATGACAACGTTTTATGTCATATAATAAAAGTGTACAATAAACATCAAAGTTGTGAGTAGTAGTAAAGAAAGAAAAATGATTATTCGTATCATAGAACCACATCTATTCACGACTAAAAGGTGCTTAAAAGTTAATTTTACTGAAAATAATAGGTAAAAAGAAAGGAAAATTTCTAGATGACAGATTAGAATGTCGCATAAAATAACTACAGTATCGACGATGATAGCTGTCAGTACGAATATTGCCAGACAAAGCGATATAATGGTTTCCAACCTGTAAATATTTGCTGAAGAATTATGAATATCCATCAAAACAAATATGTAGATATATTAGTTAAGAATATCTACTCAAATGCTCTTAAACTCAATATTAAATACGAAGAAACAGAACTATGTACAGGTTATCTGATAGTGGATTGTAATAATTTCAGAAGATTATCACTATTCTAATAATTAGACTTTTGACAAAACCCAATTTATACATTAACGATGCTCATATTATTGTGTAACAAACTGGACCATTCACAAAGAAAGTGAGAGGAGTCAATATTTACAACTCTTACTTGTTCCGGCAGCTCTTCCCTCCAAAATCGCATTCTTTCTGTTTCTCTCAACTTCATAGCCTAAAAAATATCATGCAAAAATACCATACTACTGAAGCTGAATTTAAACACAAGATGGAATGGAGTGATATCGACTCAAATTTATAGATGATGTTCGTTGTAAACAAACAAAAATTGCACAAACATGTCAGCTTTATCTTCTCGTTGCATTATTTAAATTTATCAAAGAGAAACTAAATGCAATGAGTTGATAAGTGTAAAATGAATACATCTAGGAGATAATTATTGATGTGTTAGAAGAAATATTGATGTGGTCAAAATATATTATTGTTTACACAATTTGTCATTCCTAAAAACATTTAATGTAACTACTCGATCTGCAATGTGTATATTGATATTGATTAGAGTTTAATTGCGTGGAGTTGGATTTCGATGGTTAAGCCAAATAGTTTATCATTATTTTAGTCACAAAATAGAAGGCGATTTTGTTTACTTACAAATTGGATAACAATTCTAGATTAGGCACGATCTATAGCTCGCTGAATAACAGTGTATGTGAATATCAAATTAAAGAATGGTTGATTTATGGAGGATCTTAAATTAAAGCACACTTATTGGTGAATTTTAACCTTTTCGTTAATCCTTGAAAATATTTTTACCATACAACTTAACACAGAAGTTTATTTTCTTGACTACTTATGAAAATCTATGAGTACAACACGCCGAAATGTTTTTTTAGATCACAAACCCATCTATGGTTATAATACAACTCACCTCCATGACAGCGTTTTCAACAGCCTTCTTTGTAGATATTTGACTTTCTTGATATAAATTCGTAATCCGTTGAACTTCACGTTCCATCTCACATATTCCCTTCCTAAAATGTATAAAGTATTAATACAACACTAAAATATATTTTAGTTAACACATACAAATTCATGCACCTAGTCTCAAGCCATACTATTTGAATGACTCTGTAAAACCAAAATAGGTGTGGTGTTAGAATATATGACTTGAAAGAAAAGAGCTTTAATCAATAACTCATCACTCTATATTAACCTAACGATGTTTATAATTGAATAACTTGGACATATAAATGAAATAGCTACCATGTACAGATTAATAATATAATTTGTAAACTACCAATATGATGACCATAACTAATTAATACTTCGAAACGGTGAAACGAAAAAGATCACAACATCTAAAAAATCAGTAAATGGAAACCAGTACATGAATTATCACAACCCGATTTACTTGAACTTACTACCTATTACATATAATCATCATACGTAAATCCGTAAACCGAAAATTGCGTAAGTCAAATAGCAACTGTTATCTCTAGCGATTTCTTTAAAAACCTCGTAATCATTGGTTGAATGAATCAGTGATTGTTTAAGGAATAATAAACTCAGTTGCAATTTAATCATAGAATACATTAGGTATCGTAAGAGTTATTATCAGCGTTTAACAAAAAAATATTAGATCAACATCTACTTTAGTCAAAAACAAACCAATGATTATTGTGGTAAGTCTCAATGCTAATTAGTATTGACGAAAAATAAGCTTGACTAAGTGGATTATTCTAGTGCGGTAAAACAGAACAGAGAAGTGAACTATTTGCGAACGAAGAACTGCAGATAGCTATTCTGATAGAATAAGTGTATGATAAACAAATGAATGGAAAGATAAAGTATAATTAGTCGCAAAAAAAACGACATAGCCGATACACCTTATTCAAAGACCGGATGAGCTGAATGATTACAAAATATGACATTCAATTACGAAAGTCAGCTTGGTATTGTATTATAGATTTACTATCCAGTAGTTCGGAAGAAGCACTTTCTAACCAACTTTAAGTCATAGACATTTCACGATTTGAGGTTTGTTAATCTTATATCTTGCCATGTTTTTTATAAAAGCACCGTTTTCCAGACTAATTCCATGCTTTGATTTCAGAATTTCACAAAACCCGAATTCCGTTATACGTTTATTAGATTACGCGTATAAAAAGACAATTAAACACATAAATTGAAATACCTACTTCATATCTGCAAGTTTTTGTTCAGCACGACGTGCATTAGTTTCTCTTTCATTGGCCCAGTCTGCTTCTAAGCGGCGACGCATTACTGTATATTGAGCTTCACAAAGGGCTTTAGCACGATCAACAGCTGCATCTCTTTCTGCTACACTTGCAGCTAAACGTTCACTGATAGTTCTTTCAGCCTCTAATGCTTTGGCTTCTGCACCAAGTGCAGCTTGTAAACGTGTACGGGTTGTCTGGATGATAGAGAAAAGTCGACATGTCAAACGTAACACGGAAGTGAGTAAAGGGAGGAAAATGTTAGAAGTAAAATAAACTCTGCTAACCTGTAACTCTTGTTCCAAGTGAGCATAATCCCCTTTTAACCGTTCTAACTGACCACTTAGTAAGACTTCCCTAGGCCCAGGATTATCGCCGATAGAACGCAAAGTAGATAATTCTTGTTCTAAAGACAGAACACGCTCCTAAAAAAATAGGTGTAATACGAAGGATGTAGATAACGAAATGCAACAAAGCCACATTTGAAAAAAGCGTGATATTTTTAAAGAGACACTAATACAACCAACTGTACAAATACTAAATATTTTACTCAACAAGTAGAGTCCAATGGAAAATTTTATTGTTTATTCAAAAAGTGTACAATAACATAAAGGGAAATCCATAGATTATTTAATTTATAAAAATATTTTTCCATCAAATTAGTTGTTAGTTGGTTGGAGATAGTTGATAAAAAAATAAACCTAAATTTTGTGCTATGTGACACTCGTTAGCAAAGTATGTCTGTACTCTTGAGGGAACTGGAGTTTCCTGATGGACTCAGGTCACATATCGTTCAACATCAAATTCGAAACATTATCATCGAGATATTCAGGTTACAACTGAACCTTAGTAGGACTGAGATACATACAACTGATTGATCACTGAATAGTAACCAATGTCATATTTGTCTGGTCCTTTTAGTGTTAATCATATTCCATCAATAAGGTCGCAATATGGCAAAATAGTACACGTAACTGGATATCATGTGTACTATGTTGAGAGATTAGGTGGTTGAAGAAATAAAGTTACTTGTATAATATTATTGACAATGAGAAGCACTAACGTTCACATGAACTAGCATATATATCTTTAAGTTACCTGTAAAAGTTTAGCTGATTTTTCAGCTTTTTCTAATGCTTCTCTTGATTGATGTAATTGACAACGTGTTGTATATAGAGTTTCATGAAGTTTAGTTACTTGTTCTCGTTTAGCCTTGTAGTTTAAAAGACAACGTTCCAGTTCATTGCGTAGTTTAGCCATTGGTGATTTCGGAGATATTACTGACACTGCAGGAGTACTGGTTAATATACCTTGACGAGTTAACGAATGGAATAAACCATCTTGTTCATATTCGCATACTTTGTCTGCAAAATCATCATTATCACTGTATGGTTGTTGTTTACCGTCCCTAAAAAGTCGATAATTTTTAATATGATCTAACAAAAACGTGAGCACAAAAGCTCGTAATGCAGTACAAACCTAAATTTTGTTTCCATTAAATAACAAACTAAACATCAAAGCAGGAAATAAAATTCATCTTTAAAATTAATTGTTAGTTATTTCGAGCTTCGGAATGTCGAATGTAGTAACTATCAAGTTCATACCCAACGTTTATAAATATGGCATTTTGTGGCGCCCTTAGCAGTGTAGACCCTGAAAATGTCAGGCCTCACCTTACACCAGTGATTCCTGTCTCAGGAGGTAAGGTCTTTTGAAGAACGGAGCTGAAATGTTACAGACTTCTCACAGAAGGGCGGCGCATGGTCAGCCTCAAAAAGCTGTCTTTTGAGCTATTTGCTCACCATTCCAGGTCGCTGAAACCATAACTAGTCCAATTTCTTCCTCAGGTTCTCCAAGAAATATCCTCCCATAATGTGGGCAACTGGGAAGTAACAAACGCCCCTATACCATTAACAAAATTTGAGATCCCTTCTTAGCATACATGTGGAGGATTTCATAGTATATTATCGTACCAAGTGGAGCAGTGGATTAACAATTAAAGCGCTCAACTTTTAGCCACCAAGTTCCAGGTTCGAAACCCGCTCCATCTACTTCGACAACCAAGTAGTATCGTCAGAGTGAGGCTTATAAGCAAGTATCTGATGAGTAAATTAATTACAAGAAACAAGTTATAATAAACTTTTAAAGTATACAACAACACAGTAACTTACGAATTCTGGCGAAAGCGGTAAGACTGTTCATTTGAATCGCAACCAGTGATGGCACAATTATCATTCGTACTGTGAATAGGCCGTTCGATTGCTGAACATGGACGTCGACGATGTAAATTTGCGTGGCTGCGCTCGATGGTATCGGCAAATGCAACGGATTTGCCTGGATGGCGTCCTTTTATCCCAGTAGGTGTAAATTCACTTGATTCATATGAAAATTGGTTCTCATCATTACCATTGTTATGGAAATAAACATCTAACTTTAAAACGCTTTCATAAATGCTAACTTGATCCCGAAAATCTCGTAGTTCATCCTGAATACAAAAAGATTATAATAAACTAATATATTTTCAATATATGCTTCAAATTATATAAACATGGATAGAAAGTAGTTGAAAACTCAGAGGAAAACTGCTTAAAATGAATTGAGATTTTATTTTATGATAACATGAAAAGTTACGAATTTCGATGTTACTTCGCATCAATTAATTACCAGTCAGTCACAACGTAGAGCCTGTACGTATCTATATCGATTCAAGTTGCCTTTCACCATTAGCACAGAAATGAAATCGTCAGATCAAATCCCAAAATAGGAGAGATAGTAACAGTATCAATGGTAGTAAGAAAGATTAGGCATCGAAAATACCACTCGAAAGGAAAATATAAAGTAGTGAAATAAAAACACAAAAATATGTTATGAGGATTTAGACAAAGAATTGATTCATCTGCACTATCGCAAACAATTTTAAGCTATGTCATTCAAAGTCTCTAACCACCGGTTACGATAATCACATGAATTTCAATCAAATAGTCTGTACTTATTAACATGGTTAAGTCCAACCTTCGGTGACTTCATGGACTGATGACATGTTTTGGTCTGGTCACCCCTAGCTTTTTCCAAGACTACTCCTAGACTAGAAAGCATCGTCCGTCGAGGTATATGGTGGTTGGACATACGTAACACATATCCCAACCACCTCAGTTGATGATTTACAACCTCATCAACTGATTTCCCATATTTAGCTAATACCCGATTTCTAACCCAGGCATTGCTTACTCCGTGGTCCCAAACTACACGAGCAATGTTTCGAAGACACCTATGATCGAGTACCAGTAACCTACGAATATTCTCTACTCTTAATGGCCATGTTTCACATCCATAAAGTAGAACGGAGTGAACTCCTACACGGCAAACTCGTGCTTTCTTTGGGAGACGGATATCTCGCTTACGCCACAAGTGGTCCAAGTCAGCAAAGCCAAATGAGCCTTTAGAATCCGTGCCGACATTTCGTGAGATACCAGACCATCGGGACTAATGTGACTATTTACATAAGTGAGGCGGTCGATGCGTTAAACTACATCACTTCCTGTCACTAATTCAGGCGCTGACGCAAGTCGATCCTGAAGCAGAATTTTACATTTGTAGGGAGGTAACCACATCCCAAACACGCTTGCGTTGTTCCTTAGTGCGGTCAGAAGACAGCATTTTGTCAGTGTCTTCACCAAACAGAAATGTATCAACTGCGTATTCTATGTCAGCATGTGAATCTCCTGGCATATCAATCCCTGAAAAGTTATACGATAAAAGTATTATCTCTGAAAGCATGTCTATGGCAAAGTTAAATGTAAATAGAGAAAGTGAACAAGCTTGACGAACACCATTCGAAGTGACCGATTCCGACGACAGTTCGCCATAAGTTATGGATCGGCCAGTAGTGTTCGAGTAGAGAGCCCATACAAAGTTAATGTATTTGTTTGATGAACTTTACAATTACAGACACTGCCACGGAACCTCACGACTAACGGAGTCAAACGCTGCCTTGAGGTCGAGGAACACAACTATGATCTGACATCGAAAAGTATGTCTATGATCCAGAATCTGCCGAAGGATGAATATTCGGTCTATGTATCACATCCAGGTCTGAGACCAACCTGACTTTCTCGGTTTCACCCTTCATGAGCTCTAGTTAGACATCAAAGAATTATTGAGGCTAATATTTTTAACACTATGTTAATTAACTGACTCCTTTGTGATTGTCCCAAGAGGATTTTTGTCCTTTCTTATAAATTAGGACGATCAGCGATCGAGACCAGTTATATGGAATTACATTTAGTTGCCAAAATGAAGTTAAGATCCCAATTATTTTAACTACTAAAACTGGACCACTATCCTTAAAAATCTGGTTCAAAACAAGGAATCGCGTGAAGGGACCAATTCACTTATTTGCGAAGTCCCATTAGCTCTGATGTGCTGGTTGCCGAAGAAGCCTTAACATGAATCCAAAAGACCCAAGTGAAACAGGCCAGCAAAATAGCTGACTTCTTGCCTAACAGTGAATACAATTAACAGCAGTCTACTCTGCACTAGTTTATGGTAGTAGGACACGGCGGTTACCATTAGGAAATAAGTAATGATAAGAGGGATGTGATGGAACATTTCTTTGCATCACTTCTTTTTTTGATGTGATGGTAATATTGTCGACATTAGACTCAAGGTGCAACAGCAACAGCAGTAAGTCAATCAACGAGGTTGCATATCTGTGTTGATTGAAGAGCTTAGACCTTCTATTTTACATACTAAACAGTTATCTCCTCTGACGTACATTGCTGATGTAGACTTACTGAATAGGACCTACGAAATAATAAAAACCAGTAATAAAAATCCTATGCTATTTCTCAAAGTGATCACAATCATAAGCATGAATTTACATATCCTATTTCTCTAAATCTTAAACACGTTATTATTCTGTTTGGCTAATAACTTGTTTATTTTTTTATCACCAAATAACTTTGCTATTTAACGCTTTAGTAAAATGCATTGCCTTGAAATTATGAACTGTTTAAATGTTGACAAACACTAGCTGGAAAAGTTAACCCCTAAACGAATTTTTGACGTTAAGTCTTTTTTATAGGTAGCTTTTGAATTTATTATTAACACTTCCTATTATTTTTTAACGAGCAAGATCAGTGAGTAAAACAGAAAAAACAAGAAAAATACTCCTTCCGACGAACTCAGGATTGTAATCTCACTAATCTTATCAAACGTCTTGCTTAGTAAGAAACTATAGATTTTGTTGGACACGAATTAGAAAGATAGTTGACAATCGTCAAGCAGTAATCAAACAACAAATTCAAAATATTAAATAAATTTGAATAAAAACGGTTTATGTATCATCAAAGTTGGAAACTTTTATTTTTTTCTGATTGGAAAATCTTACACACGAAAGATAACAAGTAAACCACACCTGTAAAATCTTGTTCACATCTTCTGTTATCTTTTTCGAAGTCTCCAGTTCAATGACCTTTTGTCTTAAGGACGTAACTTCTGAGCATAGAGCTAAGAGAGAAGAAATAAGAGACGTATGAGTCAAGAAAGAATAGAAGTAGAAAATAGCCCTAGTAAATGCTAATCACCCAGAAAGTAATAAGAACGATAAATAGGCTAAGTATAAGACATCAGTTTGGTTGATTTTTGTTAAAATGGAATGACATTTTTAATACAGTCAACACGCATGAGACAGTTAAATTGTGAAGCACTTTTATTGTCATACAAATAACGATGGAATCTATATTATTGAAGAATGGTCGGTTTGAAAGTGTAACCTGATGGTTTGGACATAGCATACAACTACTTCAACTAGGATAAGAAATAAAGCTTCACTATTAAGTTTGTTATTTCGAGTAATATACCATAAACATAGTTAAAATATAAACTGAGACAATAAAAGGGAAATTTAGATAGAAAAGTGACAATAATAATAATAACAATAGATGGACAGAGAAGGAATCAAACTGGAAATTTGGGAAACAGAAGTTCAAGATTAAAGATAAAATGAAGAAAAGATCTATCCCTACTACTCTAAATGGTGTTAAGTAATATCATCTTCAACTAGAATTATATCTAGGAAAAGTACATACGTTTAAGATCCATTCATCGATGTAAATCATAACCTGGTATGATTATCCTAAGGAATACATTAATCATAATCCTACATGAAAACACCATTTCAGATCAAGTGATACAATAGGAAACACACAAATCACATCCATTAAAAATTCTAATATCATCTTATGTTATGTTTTGTCGAGGCGTTAACTACGGACGAGGAAATAATACCAATACGGGAGAGTATCTAATACGATCAGTCAGTCAGTAACACCATGGAACTTCTCACACACGTACATCAGTTCGAGTTGCCATACTACATTAGCACAGAGATGCAGTTATCGATAGATAAACCAATACACAACGATAACTCAACAATAAAAATATATACGTGGTTTATGAAATAAAGAACTTAGAACGAACAGCCGACAAGAAGAATGGTTAATTATAAGCGGTGTTTACAGTGGTGGTATCAGTAATGCCAATTAGCGTGCAAAGGTAATAATTTTGAGAAACAATCACAACATAATTGTTTTTGAGGTGACGATGGAACATCTTTACATAGGATTTTACGTTTAACATCAACACTTCACACCAAGGGATTCAGCTGAAAGTAAGCGATGCTTCAAGTATAAATATAGTAAGTTAACACAGCTTTTTTATGTCTGATCAAGAGTAAAAGGAAGTGAACATTATCTGACATGTATAGGTTTGGAATATGATGAAGTGGATGAATATAATTTTGGCTGTTAGGACTGTAACTCATAACTATATAGGATAAAATAAAATAAAAACAGTACGTACCAGACGAAGCAAGTTGTTGACAATGCTTTTGAGCCTCCTCCAATTGTTTATTAGCCTCGTTTATCATTTTATTGTGTGTCTGTTGTGCTTTAATTATTTCAGCTTTAGATATTTCCAGCTGTCGACGTAAATCAGTCACTTCAACTTCCTGAATTAAATGAATGCATAAAATACTAACATGATTACAACTAATGTATATTTCATATCAGAAGGATTTTTGTGGATATCATAGTAATTTCAACGGTTGAGATCATGTATATTTAACAAATTATAATTTTTTAAATGACATAATAACGACATTACATCCCATACTAAAATGTTAAACATATGAATATTACCTTAAAAAAGACACTAACTGCAATATTGAGATTTTATAGCCAAAGACCTTTACCATTACTTCTGTACTATTTTCCCACAATATCCGAAACGATAAATAAGCTAATGCAGCTCAACCAAATAGGTAATGTCGAACACATAACAGCGATGAAAATCATAACTGTGGCAGTAATGACTTACAGGCTATTAATACAAAACCGATTACACTTAATACAAAGGTCACTCCAGTTGGTCATACTGATGTAGATAAAGCCATGCTTTTACGTTCTATGTATGAGTTCAAATTATTAAATTGCTAGTCTACAGAACAACTCCGCCTGGAGTCCCTTCAGGGGCTACTGCCGGTCCCAAGCCCGGGTAAATGAGGAGGGTTGGGCATGGGGTTAGCATCCCCATCCCGTAGAAAACTAACTCGCTAAAAAACGCTAACCAGAAAAAATTATTCAAACCTTTTAAACTCTGCCCTGGGAGTCAGAAGGTCTTCATTTAGGAGAACTATGACGCTTCATGATGAAAGCCGAATTCCTTCGGAAGTCACGAGGCCGATGCCCCTTCTGACAACCAGAGCAACCATTTATTTAGGTAAATGGAATTTTCGTAAAATGTGGGAGACCGGGCGAGTCTCGCAAATTGCTGCAGAAATGAAGAGATGCAACCTGGAGGTGCTTGGAATCAGTGAAACTCATTGGACGCAGGTTGGACAACAATTAGCTTCAAGAGAGCTTCTGTTGTACTTCAGTCATGAAGAAAAAAATGCTTCACATACACAAGGAGTTGTATCGATGCCATCAAAACAAGCATAAGAAGCGTTTATAGGATGGGAATCTCATGAACTAAGGATCTTCAAAGCCTCCTTCAAAACAAAGAAAGAGGGCATTTCAATGAACATCATCCAATGCTATGCGCCTACCAACGACTACAATGAAGACGCTAAAGATCAATTCTACAATAGGCTGCAGTCAATCGTCGAGAAGTGCCCAACAAAGGACCTGACCATTCTGATGGGAGATTTCAATGCCAAGGTTGGAACGGACAACACTGGATATGAAGACATCATGGGAAGACACGGACTGGGAGAAAGGAAAGAAAATGGTGAGAGATTTGCAAACCTATGTGCCTTCAATAAACTGGTCATAGGCGGCACCATATTCCCACATAAACGCATACACAAAACCACATGGACTTCACCGGATCACACTACACAAAACCAAATCGACCATATTTGCATCAACAAAACGTTCAGGAGGACTATAGAGGACGTGAGAACCAAGAGAGGAGCTGATATAGCATCAGATCATCACTTGCTGGTCGCCAAGATGAAATTGAAACTCAAGAAGCACTGGACAACGGGGCGGACAATATCACAAAAGTTCAATACGGCCTTTCTTCAGGATACTAACAAACTCAACAAATTCAAGATAGTCCTCAGCAACAAGTTCCAGGCCTTTCATGATCTACTCAATGGAGAAGGAACTACTGTGGAGAGCAACTGGAAGGGGATCAAAGAGGCAATCACTTCAACATGTCATGAGGTCCTGGGTCACAAGAAGCACCATCACAAGGAATGGATCACTGTTGATACACTGGATAAGATTCAAGAAAGGAGGAACAAGAAGGCAGCAATCAATACCAGTCGAACAAGAGCAGAAAAAGCCAAGGCACAAGCTGAATACACAGAAGTAAACAAACAAGTGAAGAGGAGCATCAGAACCGACAAACGTAAATATGTGGAAGATTTAGCAACGACGGCGGAAAAGGCTGCAAGAGAAGGAAACATGAGACAACTGTATGACACGACAAAGAAACTCTCTGGAAATCGCCGCAAACCAGAACGACCAGTGAAAAGCAAGGAAGGCGAGGTAATCACCAACATTGAAGAGCAACAAAACAGGTGGGTAGAACACTTCAAAGAACTCTTGAATCGACCAGCTCCACTGAACCCACCCAACATCGAAGCAGCACCCACGGACCTCCCAATCAATGTTGGCCCACCAACAATTGAAGAAATCAGCATGGCCATCAGACAAATCAAGAGTGGCAAAGCAGCAGGACCGGACAACATCCAGCAGAGGCACTAAAAGCAGACGTAGCGGCAACTGCAAGGATACTCCACATTCTCTTCAATAAGATTTGGGATGAGGAACAAGTACCAAAAGACTGGAAAGAAGGACTTCTGATCAAAATACCGAAGAAAGGCGATCTCAGCAACTGTGATAACTACAGGGGCATCACTCTTCTCTCAATACCGGGAAAAGTCTTCAACAGGGTATTGTTAAACAGGATGAAGGACTGCGTAGACGCCCAACTTCGTGACCAACAGGCAGGATTCCGTAAGGATAGATCGTGTACAGACCAAATCGCAACTCTACGGATCATTGTGGAACAATCAATTGAATGGAATTCATCACTCTACATCAACTTCATTGACTACGAAAAGGCATTTGATAGCGTGGACAGAACAACACTATGGAAACTTCTTCGACACTACGGCGTGCCTCAGAAGATAGTCAATATCATACAGAATTCATATGATGGATTAAACTGCAAAATCGTGCATGGAGGACAGTTGACAAAGTCGTTCGAGGTAAAGACCGGTGTCAGGCAAGGTTGCTTACTCTCACCCTTTCTCTTTCTCCTGGTGATCGACTGGATCATGAAGACGTCAACGTCTGAAGGGAAGCACGGGATACAATGGACATCTAGGATGCAGTTGGACGATCTAGACTTCGCAGATGATCTGGCCCTTCTATCCCAAACGCAACAACAAATGCAGGAGAAGACGAACAGTGTGGCAGCAGCCTCAGCAGCAGTAGGTCTCAATATACACAAAGGGAAAAGCAGGATTCTCCGATACAACACAGAATGCACCAATCCAATCACAATTGACGGAGAAGATTTGGAAGATGTAAAAACCTTTACATATTTGGGCAGCATCATTGATGAACAGGGTGGATCTGATGCAGATGTGAAGGCGCGGATCGGCAAAGCAAGAGCAGCATATTTACAACTGAGGAACATCTGGAACTCAAAGCAACTGTCAACCAACACCAAGGTCAGGATTTTCAATACAAATGTCAAGACAGTTCTACTGTATGGGGCAGAAACCTGGAGAACTACGAAAGCCATCATCCAGAAAATACAGGTGTTTATTAACAGTTGTCTACGCAAAATACTTCAGATCCGTTGGCCGGACACTATTAGCAACAACGTACTGTGGGAGAGAACAAACCAGATCCCAGCGGAGGAAGAAATCAGGAAGAAGCGCTGGAAGTGGATAGGACACACATTGAGGAAAGCACCCAACTGCGTCACAAGACAAGCCCTCACATGGAATCCTGAAGGCCAAAGGAAAAGAGGAAGACCAAAGAACACATTACGCCGAGAAATGGAAATAGACATGAGAAAAATGAACAAGAATTGGATGGAACTAGAAAAGAAGGCCCAGGACAGAGTGTGTTGGAGAATGCTGGTCGGCGGCCTATGTTCCATTAGGAGTAACGGGCGTAAGTAAGTAAGTCTACAGAACATGTGCACAACAACTGGGTAAGCTCAAGACTTCACATCATCCAAAAACGAAGAATATTTGAGCGAGTAATTGGAGTACCAGATACCTAGGCTGGATATTATAAACCTCTCATCCCCCCTCCCAATTCCTTTTGTGTTTATATATTTCTTAATCTATACATTCATCCTTCCCAATTCATATGAATTCTTTTTTATCGTAACTACCTTGATAGCACTTCTCTTATTACATATTATATTCACACATTATTATTATTATTACCATTACCTCAATTAACAAGACGAAATTCTCCTACCATGCATTTTAGTCACACGATATTTATTCTATTATATTGCTATTATACTGATTGTGACTTGGCACTGTTACAAATCATTCTGAACGTCATTAAATGACCTTTCCTATTCATAAATAACACAATCCTGAAGTAATTATGTCGTGACAGATGCCAACGTTCACCACTTTCAACATATGACACTTTCGAACTCATCAATGCATGTCTTATTTTGGTCTTAGTAAATATCAAAATAATTATGGCCTATAACTGTAGAGCCTGATGATGAAGTTATTGAAAGCAATTGTCCGCTCAAATATTTTTTGCTCTTGAATATTCTATAAGGATTTTAAGCTTCATTTTATTCTGAACATACACTTAATCTTATTTGGATAGTATCATTTTTAAGAAACGAAATAGTAAATAACCTTTACAATCTAGTCTCTTATTGTATTCCCGTAAAAACAGAAGTTTAGCTTAAGCATCTGAAACTCAATCAAATAGTCATACCATAAATGCATTTGCAAAGGATCTATTATGATGAGAGAAAATGGTACAAACAACTCTAACATAAACTGCTTTTGAGAGATTCACTGAAGAATATCTAGGACAATCACAGAGGATCTATAGAAAATAAATCAAAATAAATATTAACGATTATGGGTTATCTACAAACTGAAATATGATTAATCTTACAATGATACTGATTGTAAAAAAGGGGGAATTTTACATTTCTAACCTTCTGAGTTAAATGTCTTTGAGTTGTATTTAGTTCTGCTCTAATTTCCTCAGTTTTCGAAATAAAACGTTGTTCTAGATATTCTGTTAATTGGGCTTCTCTTTCTTCAGCTCGTTTTAAAGCATTTCCCGTAGTAAGCTCAACTAATTGACTGGATAAGGATTCATTAGTTGATCGTAAAGCTCTAAGTTCTTCATCCAACTAAATAAATAAATGAATAAAGACTATTTCACTCAAATACGCTAAAGCGAATAACTAAGGTTTTTTAATTAAATTTTCGGTTTTCATACGAGTCAGCGGTTACATGGTATATATTTTGAATTGTAAGGAAAATGTGTATTGGTTTGATAAATATATGATGACTTGGTTATGTATTAACTGAGTTAACCTGTCAGTCACTAATAAATACTGTAGAACCTAACATATGATCATGCTATCATATCAGTAAATTATGGCTTTTTGTATTATATATGTTAACTTACCATGTCAACCAGGTCGGTTGGATAAGGGTAAGACTAAAAGCAACAGATGAGGGCAAGAGAGCAAAGTTGTACTGCTGATTCTAGAGGGAGGTGGCGATGATAAAGTGTTCCTCTCAGGCAACAACGGACGGAGGGGTTAGAAAAGGTCAACATTCAAAATGTTACACCTTATCTTGACCTACAGATTTTTGCCACGAGCAATAAGGCCTTCTAAAATGCAGAGTTAACATCAAAAAACCATCTATAACGAGGCAGCGCACGACCGGCCTCAAGCAGTTGTCATTTGGGCTCTGTGAGCAACCTCTTGGGTCGATAAGACCACTAACTGATGTTTTTTTCAGGTTCTTCAACAAGAAATATCCTCCAATAGTGTGGGCGAACGGGAAGTGAAAACCACCTTCATATCTCTATCAAAACATAAGATGATCTTGTTGAAGATTAAGCCCTTCCCTCACCTCCTAACAATTCTTCCATCCCCACGACTAACCTTTCTCGTATGTCTTTATCAGGACGCGTTGTCGATGCTAGTGATATGAGTTCACGAAGTGATATTCCTGTTCTCCTGAACTCATGCACTAAACTACACGTTGGGACTTCTATTGTCCGAACGAGGTGTCAAATAGGAAAACGGGCTTCTCTCGCGCCATCGGTATAAAGTCATTCATTTGACTCACCTTGTTAACATGACGAACAGGCACGATTTACCCTTCGACTATCTGGAGAACACATTGCTACTTACCGTGGCCTAGCTGATGTAAATATAGCAATAAATTCAAAATTAGCACAGGCTTTGTAAGACTGGATTCCAATAGAGTCGCTTGTGAACTGATATTAGTGAATCAATCAGAAGTTCTACATCTTCATCAAACGTATATGTCATACATATTCTTTGAGTCCTGTTACAGAAGCACTTTACCAAGTCTCGCTTGTGTTGCAATAAGTATAAAACGCGGATATTTAAATAGTGACCAATACAGGTTGGCTTGACATGAACTGACTTTATAGTTCCATCCTGTCTTCGACTCTAAAGTATTTCTAAAAAGGTCGATCGGTTGTTACTTTCTTCTCCATAGATCATTACGATATCATTCTGTACTCTATTGAGTTTATATTAATAACTGAGCAACATTGAAATCTTTATCGCATATGACCAATATATCATCTATGTATCTCCTAAACGGAATTTATATCTCTTTATCATTTCATCCTTTCGAGCTAATATAGTATGGCAACCTGGGTCACTGCATTTATGTGCCAGGGTGTTTGTTGAGTGATCCGTTTTAGGACTTTTGTTTTGCAAATAATGGAACAAGTTTACAATTTTTAGTCCCTAAATTTCTTCCCTAGGCATTGTAAACATTTTGTAGATGCACACAAAAAATATGATTGGGTAAGTGCGTTAGTAATCAAAAAAATGAATATTCCCTATCGTTAACACTTTTTTGAAACTTATCACCACTACGTAAACGATTTGATGGTGCATAATTTTCTATATTGAAAAGAATTTGCTAAAACTTAACTTCTTTGTGTTTCAACTTTTTTTCGAAAAAAAGGTGCACCCATGAATGGTACATTGAATGTATTTCACCAATAATAATGAAGAATCATTTGTTAAAACTAAACTCAGTGTAAGGTGTAGGTTTACCGTTAAAGTAACAAAAAAAACCTTTTGTTCTAATTTAAAAACCAGCAAATTCTGGGTAGGTTTAAACAACATGGAGTAAGAACCAGGAAGCAATAAGATTTAGTATATAAAAATTGCATTGCTTGATACGTAAAACAATGAGGATACTACTTATACTGCCACAAAATACCAACATGATACTGAGTAAATTTAGTAAGATCGCTTTAATATGAACCAAAAATAATCACACAAATATACATCATTTTCATGAGTTGCCTTTTCTCCTTTTGCTAAGTGTAATAACGATGTAGGAAATCCGAAAATTACGACAGATCAACAAAACTTTTTCACAAATAACATGAAATGATTTTGCCTACTGTTAAATTTACATGATATAACTACATTACTCACAAGCAACTAGGTTATATTGCATAATTTCCTTTCCTGTATTTCGTTCGTTAATTGTAAATTAACTATTCTCTTAATGGTTAACATATTTTTGGTCTGTCTAGTGCCTCATCAAGCCAGTCATTTATATACTTGTTGATTCCGAAAATTACCTTGCATTTAACGTTAAACTTATGCTACTTATTAACTTATCGTAGAACCATTAGTTATTTGGACATATATATATTCTAAGATGCCAAATCTTTTTTTGAATTCAAACGACCTTGGGTGAGTTCTTCTGATGAATCTAACACTTACAGGTATTTAATGTGAAATTCTGATTCACTACTCAGTAAAATCCAGCGTCTAAACAACATTATCAATCATTCAAGTGTCATTTCAGTTCTCTCTTTTTATTGAGATCATGAACCGATTGATGTTAGACCACCAATTTTGGAAACCTGGAAGCACTGGACGGCCGTTTCGTCCTATTGCGGGACTCCTCAGCTTTTTCTACATACCACATTACAGGAACTGTTTTCAATCCAAAAACGTCAGGAGACTTAAGTAAAAATGGTGAATGGAATTGCTCAACTCAACTAATTAGTCAGTTTAATAGGCATAAATATAAAAATTTAGTAAGGAAAATAATAACCTTTTTCTGAAGCTCTTCATTCTGTTTCAGTTGTTTCTGTAAGACTTCCGAGTTTTCTTGTTTAGCAACAAGCTCTTCACGTAGTGACTTGACAGTATCTTCCATTGCTGATAGTTTGGAACGTAGTATTTCTTTATCTCCTAATTTAATGAGCAAGAGAAAAAATCAAAAGACAATATTTATGGACGAAATTAATACGTACATATCACTGGCGAATACAACAAGAATGTCTGATATCGTCAGGTTTGATAAGAGACAGAATATTCAGGCACTCTAAAACTAATAAGTTATAGTAGATTCCTTATGAGCACTGTCAGAAAGTAAAGTAGCGAGTTGGCAGGAAACCTAACATGAAGGACCAAAATGAGAATGTGTGAGTCCCTCATGATCTTTATCAGACTGGCTAGAGTCATAGACTTGTAAATTCGGATAATAATAATAATAATGGCAGAACACTTGTTTCAAAACTGTTTGTGACGTCCAGAGAGCAATAGTCTTAGGATGACTACGTCTAATGTAACATGGTTTGGTAAAATAGCTCATCCAGTGGATTAAAAGAAGCAAAATACAATGCCTATAAAGTTAGAATAGCATAAAATGACCTACAAACAAAACTCACCTTCAGCTAATAACAAACGATGATTAGACAGACGTTTTTCTTTGGCTATGTCCTCTCTTAACTGAACAATCTCTGTCTGTAGCTCCTGTAACTGATGTCCTCGAGCGGCATACAGTAATTCACGACGATCCTGTTTGTCGTTAGATAGCAAACAAGAATCTATTTTTTCGTTGATACTAGTCTTTATTGGAGTAATGCACGGGATAAACCCATTTTTATTTGAGGTAGTCTTATCTGGTTCATTGCTAGCTAAAGAAAAAGTGAGAGTGAAACAGGTACGTTGATATACTTTCCAAAAAATAAGAAAAATTCTATCTTTATTACCCATGTATGAAAACCTTAACAAATCGAGAATTATACGGTAACTAAATGACTAAGTATAAAGTTAATGTAAGAGACTTTTTTATTCATTTCATTTTAACACGTAGATATTGGTACAAGGAGGCACCAAATACATATGCGCCACACAAATCTCATTCGATATGTGTGAGGGCTGTGATACTGCCTGGGTGCCCAAACCGAAGTAGGTGGCTTGATTAGGGAGCCACACCCCGAGCCTTCGACCTGAAGGTCTGACCCACAAGGCAGTGGAGCGTCGTACGGAGATGCAGTCCCATGGAAGCCGGTGACCAACGATTAGTTCATACGCCATTTGTTCCTTCAGGATACTGCAGCCCATGTGCACATTGGTTTGGAATCCGGTTAAAGTGCCGGATATTCGCTTTTCGTCCTCCCATTTTCGTAAACAACACCCCGCCACGAGAAGGCAGTGAGTAGGACTTCCCTGGCAGAGGCTATATACGCGTGGCCATGTGAGAGCATTTCAAGAAGGAGAGCGGACTCTCCCCACTCTCGGCTGTACAAGGGCATTTGGGGGCTGGAAGACCATTAACCTGAGATGAGTCTTGTGTGGGCTCAGACCATTAATCTCCCATTGATTTACATAAATGTAGTTACTACTACCTAGAGATTAAAAAATGTCTGGGAGACAAACGTTTTTTACCTCATAAAGAACGTCCAGATCCAAATAAACTGATTTTCTAAAGTTGATGTGTGGTATCGTAAATGTCGAAGCCTCTCTAAGCATTAAGTTGAAGGAATGAACACTATCCTACCTACTTCGGTTGAAGAAACGGTTAGTATCAGTATTTTTCATATAGAATGTGACAGAAAACAAAAACATAAACTCACAATTCGTTACTAAGTTAAACTTTAATCGACATTCAACTTATAAAAGTCACTAAAAATAAATAAAACATCACCTAAAAAACAGCACACATTTCTCTTAATAACACTGAATTTTCACTATTTCAAAGTACAGTTAATAACAAATACTTGAAGTCCGCAACTACTTTTCATTTATCATTTAGGTCATTTGAAAATTGGATTTGCAGACTTTGGAAACCAGATTCGTGATAACAAAAATCAAACATCTATTATCCAATGAATCGATAAGACACTAGCTGGATAGGATAACTTAGTTTTACATTGATTCACTCCATGACCAATTATTTGGATCCTAATATTTGAAATAAAGTTGGAATTCTGAAGGTTATAGATATGACTTACTGATGAGTGTCAGTAAGCCCGAAATTCGTCAACTGCTTCTAGCCACCTGACAACAAAATGGTGCGCTATGACAATTTAATTGGCTCAGCTATCACACTAGACATTTTGGTAAACAGAATTGGATTAATGAGAATCGAACACTACATTACTTACAAACGACGAATGCACTAACTTAACATAGTTTACCCCGTTCTTGTAGACACGTGAGTGGTAAAATTATTCCACTACAAAAGCTTTCATTACCATCAATTTCGACCTTGCTCTCTATGTTTTCAATTTATATTAGTTGTTAATTAGGACCAATCAACAAAAAATTTCACAGTAACCAAAATAAGCAACGGTAAAATCTAAAGTAGGTTGAATCTATCCTACCTGGATGTAGCTTTCTAGGTTGCATATCTAAAGTGCTAACGGGAATAGCAGTGTGAGTCATCTGGTTATACGTTACGTGAGACGGGGTTGGGACTTTAGAACTTCCTGGCCAAATTGCATTTTTCGGATTTGCGGTTGACATAAAATATGATGAAGGAGCAGCACCAAACGACCAGGTCGATGAAGACATTTGTAAGGATTCAGTATGATTAGGAAGAGTAAGAATTACACCTGATAAAAATTCAGAAATATAAGCATGCAGCTGAATCCGGATTTATAAAGTTTTAAGAATTAATTCTGAAATATCTTGATTTCAAACAATAAAACCAGATAACCCTAACTTTTTTGAATTTTCACTAATAAACTGGATTACTAGATCAAATAGCAAGAAGTTTGAAGAAACAAAATGCTCAATAACGATACATTTCATGGGGCCATAGGCATCTTGATTTAAAGATTACAGTTGGTGTAAGGAAAAAAGCATAAACCACATATAGGCAAAAAAGAACAAATAACTACAGTGTTAAAAGAATGAAATGATGACAAATGGTATACTTTCCAAAACTTGAAGTAAAGTACAAATACTTTATAATCGTCACCAATAACTACAACTAAATGTGTGTACTTAGGTTTGAACCTAAGACAGCAAATACAAGTGCATAAGAGGAAATACATTAGTATGGGAACAAAGCTAACCTTCACGTTTGAGAAATAAGAAATAGTGTCAACAAATACATTTATTACCAACTGACTGTAAAAATCATATTGACAACCGAAACTTCAAAGACTTTACCTTGTGCTGTGCATGGTTCTACATTGTGTCGCGCCACATCAGATAATTTATCTCCAGTCTCATCAGGAAGACTTAGGTCCCAACTAAGAACCGGTTCAGAACTGCCATCTCTGTGGTGGAAAATCACAGAGAAATTATGTTATTTATAGTTTGAGGTTAAAAATGTTCTATCCAAAGTTGTTATTTATCTTACTTTGTCTCATTGTGGTAGTTACTACAGGCAGGATGACCATTATTAGGGTTTTCAAATCGCTCAGATTTGTTGTTGGGATCTTCAGGGTGCTGAGAACCACAGGTGTTTAGGGTGCACTGACCATGTGATTCAGCGAATCTGCATCCATTACGTGATTGCTCACTATCATTTTTAGAACTTGTTAACTCATTTGAATTCGTGGTTTCATTTTCAGAACACTATTCAGAGGAAAATATAGATGACAGAAGGTAAAAATGTGGCTAAAACTACGATGTACATATGTACTATCCTTTATAGAAAAAAACCAAATGATTCGAATAGTAAGTCTGAGGATTACCACTGGGCACTTTCAAGAGGTTAGGCTGAAAAAATTGAGGTTAAGGAAGAAATGTAGAAATATATGCAGCTAATCGCTTTTAATAACCAGTTTTTAAATTCTCTATGGACATAAAATGGTAATATCCCAACAATAACATAACCTGTAAGATCACAGGACCATTTTCAGCTGCCAGAACCACTGAATATCTTACTTTTTAATTTAAATCCCAACTAGATCTCCATGCTGCACTAGTGTTTCTTATACAAGCTGTTTTCCTTTATTTCGAAAGTCAAGATTTGTAGCAGTTTGTAGCTGAACATAATATCAAATAAATAAATTATGTTGTCAGTGAGTTATTTAAAACTACATGAAAGTTTTAAAGCTTGCTGAGATCTCTCGGAAATGATGATCATAATTTAATCATACGTAACGTAGAGTCAGGGATGATAATAATTGAATTCTGTTGGCCTATAATAAAATAATTACTGTTAAATATTGTGATACATGTTATCAACTGAATAGTGTATAAAGCTTTTGATGAAGAAGCAAACCAATCTAGATAATTGAGTTGCATATGATTTAGTGGTGTCGTCACGCACACTCATGGTAAGGGAGGACCGATTCCTTTTTTAACGTATGTCATTTACATACACCATGATAAAAATTGCACGTCAAACTTCAGTTAGCACTGAAAGAATAAGATATGGAAAAGTAGAAAAACTAGAAACTATAAATTATGGACGAACCAACTCGATTAAGAAATGTCGGGATTGGAGAAAATCTATTGATGTTGATAAAAGACTTCCTAGTTGAGCTCCAACGAAGATTACGGGTGGACTCAAAGTTGTCTAACTGGCAAACTGAACTTAGTGGATTGCCCCACGGTACAGTCTTGGGGGCCAGTATTATTCCTCTAGTAAGTGAATCACTTTCTTCGTTTACTATCACCGTCGGTCTTGCTATATGCTGACGATGTCAAGATATGAAGAGCAATACGAAGTAAGGGTGATAGCTTAGAACTCCAAAATGACCTGGAGAAATTATCTGAATGGTCTCAAACCTGACAGTTGCCGATAATTACTTCCAAGCGTATTGTGATGCATATCGGTCATCAAGGTACACATACATACATGATGAATAACACTGAGCTACCTGTTGTCCAGACACATTGGCTTAGGATTCATCGTTAGACAAGACTTAAACAGTACTTCAAACTGCTGTGCAATATCCACCAAAGATTTTGGAACTCCATGGTCAATACTTAGGGCATTTAGTCATATCGACGCTTAAAACTTTTGACTTTGCATAGTGTTTGTGAGTCCTGAACTTGAGTACTGCATACAAGCGGCTGGCCCCTGCTTAAAATAAGTCAGTGGGCTTTTGGAAAAGGTTGAGAGAACAGCAAGTAAGCTGATTCCCAGAATAGCGAAGCTCCTGTATATTGCTCGACTGGCTAAGCTAAACCTATTCTCGTTGTCTTATCGAAGAAGTAGAGATGACTTGATTACAGTTTTCGAATTGCTTAGTGATAAATGTGCACCTGATATGCCCTCATTTTTCGTGTCTTCCAGAACAGAGAATTTACGGGGACACTCCAAAAAGGTCCACAAGCTCAGAACAAACTACTTGTCAGCTAACGATCGACGTTCCCATTGAATCATCAACGAGTGGGATTCATTACCTCAGAACATGGTTGGGGCTCCATCGATCGACTCTTTCAAAAGAAAGTTGGATTAACTGAGAGACCATCATTGCGAAGACTGATACAGGTCATCAAGACTCCTGCCCATTTCAAACTGAAACTGATCCGTTATACAAATTATTTTGGCATGATAGCTGGTGTCAGTTCGTGATTAGGACCCTAATTCCACGAACTGGTCTATATCACTTATTTCCACCAAGGAAGTAGGTGGACATTCTCTAAGTCACCCTAGTGTCACTCAAAAGTTGTTCATAAAAACGTCTTACAGAAAAACTTTTAACTTTAAGGAGCTCATATAATCATGTGCTTGAGATGGGTAGAAGCAAATGTTTAATGCCTGGTTCTTTGAAAATTCACTACCAAAAAATAGTGACGATCATAAGATCTCTAAAAAAACAGCGTATAACATAAATTAACTGAAGATAACTTGAGTACCAATTTCAGAATGGATTACGAAGATTCATTGTGAGTTGCAAGACAACAATTTTACCGATTTCTAACACAATTGAGAAAGCTAAACATACCTCTCCAAAATTCTGAATAGCACCTTCTAGCAAAGACAATTTATCTGCTTCGAAAATGCTCATTAAATCGTTAGAGTCACACGGTACAGCATCATTCGCAGCTAACCCTAGCTGGTTTTCTTCATCACTGAAGTCAAAATTACTCAACTGCTCATAAATTAGTTGATTAAGCTATACAACCACTTGGAGTTAATGACTGCTATTACCTCTTGTTTAAGGATTGGGTCTTCGTGATCCACTTCTAAATCATTTATTTTAAACTCATTGTGGTCGAAATTTATCATTTCGGTTACCATGCTCAAGACGAATGTTTGTTGGTTTTACGCTAACTTAGGTTTCTCGGCTGAGAATCATTCTATATTTATCACGTAAATATAAGAAAATAGGTACCGTCTCTAAGAACGCTCGTCCAACGTTTGTTGCGCCCATTTACATAAACCAGTTAACGAGTCATTAAAACACATTCAACTCGTTGTCACTAACTAAGCAGCATTACTCTCATTCCTCAAGCTTTTTAGGAAGGAATAGAGAACGCCTTTTCTAATGAGATTTCTTGCTTCATGGTAGTAGATTGCCTATATTTCCACGTGAGTATATGGGATATGAAAGCATATGGAATTTTAAATGAAATATATTGATATTAGGTCTCTGAGAAAGACCTTAAAGAAACTTTTCAATAATTCAAGAGGATCTCATCAAGAAATATAAGTAATATCTGCAATTCATTTTCAGTCTGGGAAGTATCATGTGTATAAACTAGATGAGCTTAAAGTAACATTATTTTGTGTACGTCTTGATTTATCTTTGAAGTTCTGATAACTGCACTTTTATATGTATTCAATACGGAGGAATGAGAATACTCCCTCATATACTACCAGTTGTTAGTTACATTAAAAGCTCTGTTCCAATCTTTTTCTGGGTGTCTGAAATACAATTCCTTATCACATCTAGTGTTATCCTTTTGCCTTTGCGAGTTTTACTGTCGTTGGTAAGTTCCTACCTGGGTTAATAGATGCCCGTGGACCAAAAAGTAACGTTTCTTACGGTAAATAAACCCTCATGATACTGCCCTCACTAATTTTACTTAACACGCCTAGCTGAAGACAGCCGGTTAATTATTTTTACTAGATTGTATTCGATTTCTTCGGCTAGTAGAACCTTGCGTAAGAAGGGACCCCAGAGAGTTGAGTTGTTGAATTCTACTTATCCTTGACCTCCTGAGTCTTATTCACAGACTTGGTTGTAAGCATCTCATATCCACTCAAAACTCGTTGGTTTGCACTAATGTCCAGAATGTCAAAATCACTGCACAATCACACGAAAGGGAATGACCCCTAAAATAAAGAGTTATGTAATCACCCACACCTACGGCGACGTCATCAGTTTTTAGTACTTCTATTCCCTAAGGGGCCTAGCCAAACGACTTAACTGTATCCTGCCAAAGAACATGGAAAATGTATATACTGCATTATGCGGAGGGCATACTCATACCAAATCTCACTAGTTTTACATTTGTCCAAGTGTACCTTCCCTCCAATCATAAAAGTCTTCTTTGTTTGTCTTCAAAATAATATGTGAAGTGTTTTCTATAATTTGAAACCTAACAATTATGATCTTTCAGTCTTACAATAAAAATGAACGATGACTGAATAAGGATTTATTAGTTCTCATTTCGAGTTATTCTAGCGCACAATTTTTAACCTGGTTAGTTACAACATAAGCTGAATCATTCCCTATTGTGGATGGTTGGACAGGCCACAGTGCTGCTAAAAGTTTAAATGACTATATCTTATGAACTGTGTTGAGACTTAAGGTGGTGGTCCGTTCCAATTTCACCAATGGGATCCAATAAGCATTAAAATGGACTCAACATGCTCGGAATACATCAATAATAGCTGGCCAATTAATCGTATTTACATCTTAGTTCTATATGATTTCAGCCATGGGGCAAAAAGCTCAATGGTGCTGTTTTACTAGACGAGTGATACAAGATCAAGCATTCTAGTGAACATCGATTACCTCAAGATTGCATGCATGCTTTACTCAAGATTGTTATAAAGCACGACAGATGAGTTTAGAGTTAATTATCGACTGCATTCATCCCCCTCCCAGTATTCCTCAGTTTTTGGGCAAACATTTAACAATTTTTAATCAAACAATCTGAAGGATTATTTGATAACATTACATTATTGGTTCTGTCACACTCCGTGCCCTAAGAAAGATCTTTAATCGACCTTCAAAATCGACCAATTTTCGAACAAATGTTAACATCACCAGAGTTGTCGAACCAGAGTGACCTGACCACACTCAGCGGGTTGTAAAAAGTCGTCGGCTGAAGCCGAGACGAGAAGATACGTGGGCAATTTCCTTGGAACTAGGTCGTTACGAAAATATCGACATTTAAACATGTCGACTATTGGATTACAATCCAAAACTAAAACCTCTGGTTTTAGTTGGCAAACTGTTTTATTTTTACGCTACAGTTATATTCCAATTGCTTCTCTCATTTAACGCGAGTAAGTCTTATTTGATAGTAGAAAGTGTTTGTAGCTAAAATGGATGATTTTGATGAAGTCTCTATCCTTGATCTTGATTATTTGGTCGTGAAGCTTTCATTTATCTTCTGAACTACATTATCAGCACGAACATCTGGCAAGATTGAAGTGTTCGAATTACACCACACATGACTCACTACTTGTCCTCTCGATTATCACAGGCTGTTATTGACCTCTAGCCTGTCATTGTATATCTCTTTATTTTGATTCTATCTCCCTTTAATCTACTTCGTGGTCCTATGTTTCTCCATGATTTTCGTGATAAGTTGGTGAGTTGGATCGACTTCGATGTGTGTTGTTGATCGCTGATTGACTTGAGTGTCAAGCTTCTTAAGTTTCTCCGGTGATATTCATGTTCCCTTTATCCAAGGATTCAACATTTTTCAGTCCAACGTGCATTAGCGATTGCACCCACCCAATGGTGTTGGTGTATATATATCATGGCGTGCGACCGTCACCTGAGCCATGTCATTCGATTAATTTTAGTTAATTAAACTCATTGTTCCTGCCTTATTCATCGTTGGGTTTTTTCCCGCGCTAAACGTTAAAGGACTAATTTTTCAGTTGCCTTGTGTTCAGCTTTGAGGATTGTATGATAAGGACCCGGTGTCACGACAAAAGAACTTATCAGCGAAGCGACGTTTTTCTCACAACATGACACCAAAGCACCCATTAGTATTGCAGTAAGCGCATCCGACCCGGCAATTGGAGGTGTCTTACAACAATAGGTCCACCACATCTGGCAACCTTTTGCATTCTTCTCGAGACGGTTGCTAGATATCAAATTGAGATATAGCATTTCGGCAGGGTTCTCTTAGCCATGTGTTGCATTGTATGGTACTTTCAATACTACATGGAAGGCCGAGAATTCACTCTTTTCACCATCACATACCTCTAACCTTCTCTTTAAGCTCATCTTTAGAAAAGTACTTCCATTGTGAGTCTTGATAACTGGACTAAATTTCGTAGTTTACTTCAAATATACAACACTATTCTGGGGCAAACAATGTTATTTCAGACGCTAAATGAACAGCAGCCTCACAGACCGACAGGATGTGTCCCATTTTACCACACTTGAAGCATTTGACATGATGACAAACCCATGAATTACGCGAATAAAATTTGCCATGGAAAAAATACTTACTAAACTTCTGCTCACCTTTTTAGCCTTCTGTGCGATTCCTTATTGAATCACTTTACATGTTTTCACGAGAACATGAATCATTATTAAACAAACGCGAGGTTGAGCAACCCTGAAAGTGTAGTTCCTCATGGCAATTGAGTAAAGGATTAGAAATTTTCACTGACTTAAAATCGAGCTCATTCACTGCTTCAGAGTCAATACATGCTGCTAAAAACTTCTTGGTATGAACCTTTGGTCATCTGAAATAAACCACTGTCTATATTCGAAATATTTATACCAGCAATAAACCGATTATGAAGTTGACTTCTGAAATTGAAATTCGCATCCTGTTTCTGTGATTGAAGTAAATAGTCTTCAATTTTCTTATCCTTTTATTGCATTATTTTATGGAAATTCGGTCTTTTTCTCTTCGGAGTCAAAGCAAGCTCACTGCACATGGCTAAGTATTAACTCCCTGGGAGATTCATGTGACAATTAAATTAGTTTTTCTGAGGGTCAGATTCGTTAGCAGGTGATAGGCTTCTTTGCCGATAAACGTGTGTTGTTTTTATCAGCCAATGATTCCTTTGTACTCGATTTAGAATTCTGAATATAATATGTTCTTTTGTACTCACTAAGTTCTATTTACGTAGATTGCTCTATTTCCTGAATTCTTAGTCCTCACAATAATTCAAGTACTTTAAATTATCCCAGAACATCAAAAATAAGCCACGAATTTATCGCATTTAATATTTTATTCTAGTCATGCACCAGGATTTGAACCTCTCTATGTAGTCTTCAATTGAACAAATATCCAACGTCTCAGGGTTCGACTCCATCTCGATGTTAATATGATGTATTGAAGTATTCGAATTAATGTACTAACTAGGAGTTCCTGAAATAGCGCAATTCACGGTAAGTAGAATCAGGCGAGAACGTAATATATTTATAATTCATAATCAGTGGCCATAAGTGCAAAGGAATCATAAGTTCGTATGAACACCACACTAATGTAGTGTTTCTTAAAATTGGATAATGTTCCGTTTTTCATCTTTAGTTATCTCGTCTTTAAGTTTGCATAGGATAAATTAAGGTGATTTTAATGGTTTGTGGGCTGCACTTATTCTAAACGAAACCAATAAACTCTTAATTTTTGAAATCACTTCATATACTGAAGGATTACTTGTTTGCTGGTCTGCATAATGGGTTTCGTTTCTGCTGACGAGTTGGGTTGGTTCTTCTCAAAGGATTTGCTTAGGTTTCCGTCTTTTTAAGGATAATCACACTGCAAGTGTGCTGCAATGTGTTCTCGCACAATGAATTTAATTAATTCAACTTGACCGGATAGCATGGCTCGATCTTCTGGGCGTGGTCCCTCTTGAATGTTACCTTAGATATTTTACTCACATTAAATATATTGTTTTTATCTTTAGCCTAAGCTCGTTCTCTATCATATATTGATAATTGTTACGACGCGACGAGTTGGTCTAGACAATGATTTGACTTCCACGTAAGATCTTTTTATAGATTAGGCAGTTATATCGTGACACATCTGCAATTTATTTACCTGACCATTTGATTAGATTTGTGTCCACTGATTGGTGGTAACTTTTATCTT